TAGACAGCCATCCTAAAGGCTTTCTGCAGCACTCTGGCATTTGCTATCCCATTATACTTAGACTGCCAATCGAAGCACCATGGCAGGGCAGGGATAGTGCCTAAGTGCTGTGAGCAATTTCCCATTTGTTCTCCGTGTCAAACGTTCTCTCGATTCTCACAAAACACAGCCCTGGAGCTGGAAGTCATTTGAGTCTGATGAGTCAGAGCTCACAGCATTATTCTGGCACAACGGAGGCACTAGCAATTAAACCTTATTCTCCAGTTGTTCTGCCCTTTTAATCACTGCCAGTTCTCATGTGTTTCTGGCTTATTGGTTGCTTTGAAGGAGATGGAGGCAGAGAGTTGATCAGGTATCACAGAGATGTGCCATGCTGATGTCAGTCTAACCGCAGAGTTAAAATCTGCTATCTGATCAAAAATGATTGGATTTATATTATGGGATTATGTTGCCACATTCATTAAAACAAGAGCAAAACAGCACTGCATACCAATGTCATAAAAGGAACCAGCAGTTAATTGTGTGAGTGGCTTAGTTAATTTTTGTTATAAATTACAGTAATTAGTTGTGTAAACCAAAGCAAAAGTAATTTCTTCCAAAATGTAACTATTTTTGATTTCTTTTTAACACTGTATGGCTGGGAATAGCTCTTTATAAGGCTGAGGTGAACCCTCCCTGGACTGGGCTGCACAGAGCAGGCTGTTCTGTGGGACGTGTGAGTCTGCATGTTCCTCTCCAGCCCTGCCAGCACTCTAAAACTGGGTGTGGTGTCTTCCTTTCTGGTCTCCCCTTCCAACCAGAGCCTAGGAATTACATAATAATTTGTACAAGACAAATCAATAAAGGGTCAACACCAGAACAAGAAACTGCTAGTTTGTGGCTTAAGAAATGCAGTGCTTAGCATATTTTTCCTGTAAGTATTTTGCAGCAATGACATGCTGTCCTTGCAGTGCTTTATAAGGCCAAGGCAAGATTATCTTTCCTTATCTCCTAAATATGTGTAATACCCTGAACAGCATTTGCAGATGATAATAAAGACTGCATTTTATGGATGTTCTAATTTTACAAAACCACGTTTCATTATTTGTTTATTTAGCATATTCTCCAAATATTCTCCTTAAGACTGACAGTATTTTGAACACATGTCAGAACTGAAGCACTGGGTGTTTAATGTCAACAGAAGAGACTGTGTGAAGGCCAAGTAGGGAAAGATGTGAGTGGAATGAGACTGCTGTGGCCATGCAGGGGGGTGGGGTCACATTCAAGAGCAGATGTGAAAGCTGCTAAGCCTATTACTGGATCTTAAACATGCAACAATTTTTCCTTAAATTCAGAACTGAGACTTCTCTTCCTAAGGGGAATAAAGGCATTTCAGGAATAATTCTGTAAAAGCTACAAGGTTATGTAAACAATTGGAGTTAGCCAATACGAATTTGTGTGTTAAGTCGTGCTCCTCTCAACAACTTACTTCACATTTCATTAAATTGTACTGCAAAATTTTCTCTTAATTCACTGCTGTCAAGTGCTTTGATGCTTTTGGTTTTCCCTCTTTTTCCTAAAAGCCTGAATGAAAACCTACCAATCTCCTTTCAAGACTCCCATTTCTGTCAAATAAAAGAAACAGAAAGAGGGATATAAAGACAGCAGAGAGAGACTAAGATTAAATGGAAATGGGATTTTGGTGGCTTGGCTCTGATAGCTCCATCATTTCCTCCCTCTTTACAGGCACTGGACCACAAACAAGTCCTTCTGCAAGCACAGAAGGCTACTGAGCTTCTGCTTTTCCTTCCTGCAGGACTGACAGCACTGCAGGCACCCAGTGCTGTAAGGAGCATCCACAGGCACAGAGCCAGTCAATGCCCTCCTCCCCAGCTCAGTGTTGGCCCTTCACTGAGACCACAGGGAATTCAGATGGCAATAATAATTCAGACGGCAGACCTGCCTCGTGGGGCACAGGCTCAGGGAGCTCCTGCAGCCACTGGTGTCTAACACCCTCCTTTTTAGATTGTCATTAGCTACCTCAACATCAGTACAGGACATCCAGTTTGATTCCATTTCAAATCTGAGAAAACTAGTAAGTATTTTCTAGAAGCATCTCCTGCTCACAAGCTAATGTTCCCTTTGGATCTAAGTGAAAATGCTTGGAAACAGCATTTTCAGGGTATTGCACTATGTGTTATAGTAAAAAAGCTTCCTTGCATGTAATAATAATAATAAAAAGAATATATCTTAACTAACTTATCTTAGTCTACTGTTTAAAGTATTAGCCTGGCTTGCCCTGCCCTATGAACACTCAACTATTTTTAAATTGCCATTGGAAAAATGCACAAGCAATTCCTGAAGCTGTCCAGGGGAAATGTATTCCTCCACTTATCCACAACAGGAGAAAGATGGCACAATCCCTCCCTCAAATGCATTCCAGAAAAAAAAAAACAAAACAAAACAGACCAAATTTCTTTATATGGTTTTGCAGAGTTCCTATACAGTTCTTAGCTGTAAAAAGTTAATTTTTTTCCAACTATGTATGAATTAATTGAGCATTTAACAATGGCTAGGAACAGTCAACACTGAAGTATGCATCTGAGCTCTTGATAAATACCTTGTTTAAATGTAGCTAAGATGCCACAAAATATTTTTCTAATAGGAAATAAAACATAGTCATCAGTCCTAATTTCAGTGCTGCTGATGTAGCAAAACATGTATTCATCAATTCACTTTATCAGAGAGTACCATAAGGACATGACTACCACATTTCCAAGGAGATCCCACAACAGATCACATTTAAACAATGTTTCAGCTTCATTTTCAATGAACAGGATTTTCTTTTTAATTTAAAAATAAGACATGATCTGAAATGCACATACCCTTGCTCAAGCTGTGGATTAATGAGGCCCTGTCTCTAGCTGATGCCTCTGTTATGGAGCTCATAACAGAAAGTGGTTTTTGCTCACCTCAAGCACAGGTTTGCCTACTTTTGGTTAAAGCTCTTTTTAGAGAGCTGACGGCAAAGGTGAGCACACTCAGTATGTTCTTACAGCCTCATTTACATATTTTTTATATCACGATTCTTTATCTAGGTTATTCCTCCTCACCCTTTTTCTGAATAATTGAGCTGTGAGTATACAGCACAATTGGGTAATGAAGAAGAAATATCTCAGGAAGAGGCTGTATCCCCAGCAGTTTCCCAGGGATCTCCAGGGAGGGTGCAGGGAGCTAAAAGTGCACTAAATCAGGTTTGCACCTTCTGGTTCTGGCCACAAGGTAGGAAGAGCTCAGCTCAGCGAGGAGCTGCTCTCATCCATCATGGCTTTGAGCAGCAGGGTGGAATGCCCTAAGTTACAAGCTGTTGGTCCACAGAGCAGTTTGGCCTGATTACATTCCTGACTCTCCAGCTTGTCCTCCAGACTTTTCCTGAGGTCAGTCTGACTCAGGGACTTACATGTGGGACTACAGGGGCAATGCAGACCAGCAGGCTCTTGGGCACCACAGCCACAGGAGTCTTCACAAACAGAGGAGGAAGAGGGGGTGTGTATCTTCTGCCAGGTCACTTTATTGCACTGAGACTATTAAATCCCCAAAATATGCAGGGTCAGATTGTGGGTTTAAAAGCATAGATATGAAGAGTATGAGATGGACCCACAATTTTAACTTACTGCAGAGTCAGAAGACAGATGTATTTATAGGCTTAAAGCTCTGAAAAATGAAGGGTATGAGGCCTCTTTGTCTGCCCTCTGGACTCTGTGTACTTTTGGGATGTAGCAGTCATATAATATCTCTCAGAACCTGGAACTAAATGAACCTTAAAAAAATACAAGAGCAATTTGAGAAGTTAAAAAAAAATACAAGAGCAAAGAGGTGAGGAGAAATTCCAGAAGTGTCAGTGGAAGGCATCCTTTCCTACGCCCAGCCCACCAGCCATGCTCAGTGGGAGGTTTTCCTTGCTGGAGATGCATTAAAAACACTTTGTCCTGGATCTGATTTCTGTGAGAAGTATTCCACATGCCCATGCCAGAGCTTGGCCCCAAGCTTACATTCCTACTGTCAGAAGGTACTTTTATGCTCAACACAACTTGATCTCAACCTGCAAACCACAGACTGTTTTAAAGTAAAACAGGGAAGATTTAGACTAAATAAAAGGAAGAAATTTTTATGATGAGAGTGGTGAAACACTAGATCAGGTTCCACAGAGGGGGTGGTTGTCACTGTCCCCGGAAGTATTAAAGAGATGTGCAGACATGTTTTAAGGGACATGGTTTAGTGGAGGACTAGACAGTGTCATGGTTATGGTTGGACTCAATGACCTTAATGGTCATTTCCAACCTAAATGATTCTATGATTACTCCTGGAATCCATTGTAGACAGTGAGTCCTGATTGCTTTTTATGCTCCCCTCCCTTTCTAAAAAATTCCCCTGCATATACCTCAGCTCAGTGCACAAATGTCCAAACTCTTCCTCCACTCCTTTGGATGCTAGAAAACAAACAAAAAAAGAATTCCAAAACCAGTGTTTCTTTTAATAAGGGAGAGAGTTCATGTGAAGGCAGTATGCTATGCTGTAAGAAACAGCCATTCTCTCTAGAGAAAATGAAGAAAGAAGCACTGAGACAGTAGCATTCAAGAAGTGCTTTTTTACAACCCTGTGCTAGCCTCACTGCTTCCTGAGAAACATCTTTCTGGGTAGTTCTCTGAAGAATTCATTATTCCACCCAGTGACTTCAATTTATTCCATATAAAGCAGTTATATTTGGAAAAGTTGCAGTCAAAACCATATGATGCCATCACTGATTTATGTGCACAGCAGCAACAATGAGTAATAAAGTTAAAAAGACTAAGAGAGGTCTAGCAGATGGGCACAACATAAAAATAACCATTCTGTTAAAAATGCAGATTCAGCAAACCACCAAACCCAGCAGATTCTTGGGAGTTTGGCTTTATTTGGGTTAACTAAGTAAATTTGCTCAGAATGTTGTTACACTATCACTACACTACAGAGCACGGCCAAGGACAGTGGAACATAATCTGGATATGAGAGGATGAGGATATCAGAGAGAAAAGGCAGAACATACTGCAGCTCAGTTGCACTTTGCCCCCATCACATAAACTTATAAATCCTTGTAGAAGAGCTGCCCTTTCCCACAATCCATGCTACTAAAACTAGATGCAGCAGTGGTATTTGTGTACACAAAGCCCTCAGCTACTGTTCCCCACATCAAGCCTTCCCATTTTGTATGAAATTGCTTTTATTTCAGGAAACTAGGCTCAAACTCAGGGAAAAATGTACAATAATGCAAGTGTATAAAATACTGAACCATCTTAATGGGACAGGTAAATTTGGCAAATAAATTCTCATTAACAAGGCTCTGGGTCAACTGGGATCCTGTTTCCTGCACCAGGATAGGAAATATTAGTTTAATAATACTTTTGTATTGGGGAATGTGGTTTCATTATCACTGGGGAATCCAGTGCCATTGCCAGCAGCAGCTTGGGAGAAGATTCTGAAATTCAGCAACTCCCTTATTTCTCATATCCAAGAGCTTTGAACCTGCTCACAGATGGGTAACCCCTCCTTTTGATTAGAAAATGACAGTCACAGGGTTTACTCTGTGATAATGAAAGATGATTTTTAAGTGGATAGCCCTGCTGCACACTCCATTGCAATCTGAAAATGAAATGGAAAGATTATGAGGACCACGGTTTTCTTGTATACACAACTTCTCTACAGAACTAACATTTAATTATATCTTTTTATGCTAAAAAGATCTGACAGTAGTTTCCAACTGCAATTATAACCTGTGGATGGCAGAACATATTTGCAGAGATAATCATCTGTTCTGGGCAGATAATGAGATTTAAATGGCCTGAGAACAAGACAGAAGTTTAGAAACACTTAGAGAAATAATTTCTAGCATGATGATTTCTCAACAACTCTAAATCAATCCAGCAGTAAGGCGCATTTGCCCTGCCATCCTCCACTGCCTTTATGTTTCCTGCCTTCTGCTGGACCTGTGGAATCAGACAGTGACAGGAGCAGGACATGGTGAAACACAGCTGCAAACCAGGCTCTTTCTCAGCTCATTCAGCAGACCAACAGTTTTGGTTACAGCAGTGCTTTTGAGCCATGTACAATCCCAGCAGTTCTTTGAATGCTGTAAATGAATAACCAGGTTTGTGCTGCAGCAGCAGCAGCTCAGGAGGGTGGGAGCTGCAGTGTGCTCACCCAGCCCTGTGTGCTCCCTGGTGCCCAGAGCTTGCAGCCTAGAGCCCTGCACCCACCAAGGAACTCCAGCCTTGGCAGAAACCCTCTGCACGACTGGGAGCAGGGCTGGAGGACCTGCCTGCTTGCTGCCAGCTATCATCTCTGGGCCTGAGCAAACTTTCTAATGTGAAAACTCACAAAGAATAGGGCGTTATAAAAAAATATGGCATGCAACTCATATAAGTAGGTTTAACCAGAAACAAAAGCTGAATACTGTACAAATGAGGAAATTTTGGTCACAGGAGACTGTAGAGCACTTTTCTAAAATATGCATTTGCTGGCTATGGGTGTCTCAGTCTATTAATTCAACATTTCCTAAATTAGGAGGGATTTATATAAACAGAGCATGGTCTCTAAGGTGCTGTTTATGGTCTGTCTGGTATAAATATTTATGATCATTCTAAAATTAGCTATTTTTCTAAAGTGTGCTTTTGTTTAATACAGCTCCTGAAGTCTCTCTGGTAAATATGCAGCTTTGTTTTTTTATGAGAGAAACAGAGGCAACAGAGAAACCCACTGAAAATGCTGCTGCAAATTTGTCTAATCAATGGAGGGTCCTTCTCAGCTGTGAAGTGCAGACTCTCTGCTGTCTGAGAAGAATTCCCTCCTACACACTTTTCCCCAGGGCACGCAATCCTTTTCCCATGTGCCATGCAAACCTACCCATGCCACGCAGGAATATATATATAGGAACAGAGGGCTGGGAGGAAGTGCTGGAGCTGCTGCCTCCTGCAATAGAACACGTGTGATCACACGGAGTGCATCTGCTTACTCAGATCTGGTGTCAGAATGATAATTCATGTCCTCTCTGCAGAAATAAAAATAAACCGGGTTCAGGCTGAGTTCAACAATCCAAGGTTGCATATTAGCAGTTACCAATCTTCCTAGGAGGTGAGGCATTTTTCAAGTTCCCACTAAGAGGAAAGAAACCAGATAAAAGCCTGGTGCATGATGAGGGCCGTGGTGCTCACAGTGACGTGACTCATACTCATTGGTCGTGACTTCAGTGGGCTTTTGTGAGCCATGACTACAGCATCTTTTAGCAGGATTTCCCTGAGTCACTGGCCTGCCTATTACAGATCTATAGATCTGTGGAACCTGAGCAAGCTTATAGAATAGACTGTTCCTGTTCGTGTACTGCATTATGAATTATAAAGTGCAACTGTGGGTAGACTGTCAATTCATTTCTATCTTAATCTCTCTTTTGAATAACAAAGCTGTATTAAAAAGTTGTAACTATCTCATTGCCAGATCTTGCAAGTAAAATCTGCTCTTAGTATAGAATCACCAAATAAGAATAATAAATGACTGAAAATTATTATCATCTTCCAAGCCCCTCACCAAATTCAGTCATCCAAACAGTGTCCCTTCTTCCTCTGCCTCTTTCCATTCTCACTATTCTCCCTTGTTACACAGCTAGGAACTTGGATTTCAGAATAAGAGTTAAGCAAGTTTGCTATGGTCCTCCACTTGAACCACTTCAGCAAATCTCAAACACAGAAAAAATTTTAATTCATTTATGACAATTTACCAGGAAGATGGAAAACTGGCAAACTATAAGAGGACAATCCACTGCTATAATTCAATCTGCAAAAGCTGTCAAGATGAATGATGAATGAACTTTTGCAATTGGGAATGAATTTGTCCAAACTCTAAGAAGCCAGACAGTAGTCACTGAAAGGGAAAGAAATTGGTTCTAAAAAGAATTTGAGGTCGCCGGGAATAATTAACTGAACTTTGTATTATTGTTGATAAATACCTGATAGTTGTGGTGAGAAGGAAAGAAGGATGAGTCAGACTCTTCTCTGCAGTGACAGGACTGTAACAGGACCAGAGGCAAAACCTGAAACCTAGAAAATTCCCCTTAAACAAAAGAGAGCACTTTTTCACCGGGGTGTAGTGAAACACTGAAACAAGTTACCCAGAGAGATTCTGGAGTATTCACCCTTGAGGATATTCAAAGCTGGAGCAGGCAGAGCCCTGGACACCAGCCCTGGCTGCAGCTGCTCTGAGCAGAGGACTTGACTTGACAGCTTCCAGAGTTCCCTGCCAACATCCACCTCTTGTGATTCCTCAGTACCTACACAGAGATCAGAAATATGAGAATACAAAGACCAGAAACTTATCCATGGGACAAGATTCAAGAAACAGGATCTGATAATAAATGCTTGAAGTTAATTGTGAAGTTTTGACCATTTGACTTGCTGAAGCAATTCACTAAGGGCTATTGTGGACATTCCAACAATACCAACTTTAAAATCAAATTAGATTTTATTCTAAATATAGTGATGGGACAACGGGGAATGGCTTTAAACAGGAAGAGGGTCTTTTAGTTAATGGTTTATTCTATATGAAGTATATTCTTATACTTCATAAAACACATTCCAGAATGGGACCTATGTTCCAGGGGATTTAAGTATCTTGGTGCATCTTTCAGGTCATGGTTTTCATTACATTCTTTTGGCCTTAGAAAACAGAAAAAAATGCAGAATATATTCTTTTGTATAGCATTGTCACCATGTAGAAAAAACCTCCAGTGAGAAGATCAGTGGATATGCTTTTTGAACACCGTAAATATATTTTTAAAGAAATAAAACCATTTTTGAAAAAGAAAATATAGCAAAAGAAAGCCCTATACAAGAAATATTTCTCCCTGGATTTTCCTGCAGGATTGGTCTTTGCAGGAAGAAAATATTGGTGTATCTCTTAAGCTGAGATTTAAAAAAGTTTTTAAGAAAAAAATCTCCCAAAGTACAGCTGTAACCATGATGTACAACTTTGGTAATACTTGTAAATTTGTGGAAGTTGTGCCTACTTCCATCTGCCTACAGAGGACGGTCAGGATGATGGGCACAGAACTGGAGCTCACAAAGACCTTTTGTATTCCAAGCCAGCTCAGAAAAATGGGAGATGTGCACGTGAGCAGCACAATTTCCAGCTCACTGTGTCACTGGGACAGCTGCCAGGGCATGCAGTGTGTGGCACATGAGCAGAGCACCTGAAGAGCCTGCCTCAGTTCAAACATTTATCTTGTAGATAGCTCCCTGTTTGGGTCAGTGCAGCCTCTTTGTCCAGCTATAGTGTGCTGCAAACATTCAGGTTACAGCACCCATTTTGCTGCATGTCCAGCTTTCTGTGAAAAGCAGAAAATCCTTCCCATCCTTCCCTTTGACTGTGGTAATTTTCGGAAGTGAAGGTGGTGCAGCTTGTCAGCATCTTCTGTGGGATGGCTGGGTAGTGACAGCCTGGGCTCCACACTGGCATGAGACAGACCAAGAGAGTGCTGGGGGCTGTTTTTCACAGCCTGCTGTCAGGCAGCCAGACCAAATCCCTTCCGACACAAAGAGGGCATTTTTAGAATAACTAATATTCAGAGAGTGACAAGCTAGACAAAATGATGTGTTTCAGAAAACTGATGCTCAGGAAGGAAGATTTGAGATATCAGGGAAAGAGGATTCTCAGCTTTACAGAGCCATATTAAATATGTGCTAAATCTTTTCAAAATGAAAAGAAGTAAAAGTAAGTTGGCTAAAACCACCAAGTATGTTTGACCTTTCTTTCCTATAGGCAAAATCTTAGAGTTGAGCTGAGGCCTCTCTCATACAAAAAGATCTTGCTCCCTCTGGTATGTTACTCCTTTCTAGATATGGGAAAGATACCATTTGTAATCTCTGTGATTCCAGCCTTTCACCCCAATCAAGAGACCTGCCCATGAGATGGGACTGCATGGCAGATCCACCTCCCCACAGAAAGCAAAGCTGTGCATTGCCAGTGCCTCGAAACATTCTGGAACAGACCTCTGAATCTGCAATAACCAGGGCTCAGAAATGCCCAAAGCATCACACCAGTCTTCCCCTCTACCCTTCAACTCAACATTGTTTAACAGAAAACCAAAGATGTCACGGCTACACAAAGAGAAATATGAAGAACATTCCTCACAGTTACAATTGCAGGGAGTCCCAGATCCCTCCTCCCCAGCCCCCAAGTGAATGCCTGGAGAGGCTGCAGCAGCCCTGGCGCAAGAGTGCAGAAAGGGCACAGCTCGCTCTCTCACGTGAGCAAATTTCTAAATACCCACTGTGAGTAAATTAAATACCAACATTATTTGCTGGGGCTGGTGCTTTGTTTAAGTGATTCATCCACACAGTTCATTTTGTAAAAGAAGTGCAAAGAATCACTGCCATTTCTTTTTTAATCTGAATCTGATGACGGGCAGAGTCTGTACCAGTTTCCTGGGCTGATGAACAGTAGGTCACCTGCTCAGCACAGAGTTAAAAGACTACCTCACAACTTGTACAAAATGATTGCTATTGGTGTTCTTTTAAAATTTTTCATTCCTTCAAGAAGAGGAGAGGAGTGGAGAGATGAAAAAGGAAAATAATTGCTAACTTATAATCTTTGCTGTTTTTTTTCAAAATGCACCAGCATCTTACAATCCAGTAAAGATGAGACCATTCAAATTTTATACTAAAAAAGTTGCATTTGAGCACTAGGGGAAATGCAATTTTTTGATCAGCCTTCATGTTTACTAATGTGCAGATATCGAAAAATATATATTTACCAATTAGATATTACCCAAGTTTAATAGATCAGACAAAATCTGTAATGTCTGTTAAAATTTAACAGTCTTCTTCTAGCTTGTGTGGCTGCAGACTCTGAAGCCACGGCCAGAAACAAGTAGGAGTTCTCTGGGACTCACCTGATTTGAGCACGGTTAGAGGGTAACCTTTGAAGGACTGCCAATACAAATGGTCCTTCCCGATAACATCTGCATGTTGAAATGGCTCTTGGATCCAATTCACTAAAAAATTCTTTCCTCTGAGCACATTTCAAGTTAAAAACCCCCAAAAAAACAATCAACAAAAATCCCTTGGAATTTCAATAAAAAGTTTACTCTAATGATAGGTCTAGATTAGACCTAAAATGGGATTGCCAAAGCACTTTTCATGTTTTACTAAATGAAGATATTTACTCTATAAGGATGCTAATTAATAAATGTCTGATGGACTGACTTGGAGACTTAATGATGGGACAGAACAATCAACAGCAGTCTTTTCACATTTAGTTTGCAGGTGCTGCTGAAATCAGAACACCGCCTCAGCTCTCCTGGGATGAATTTAGAGCAAAGAAGGTTGTTTGCAAAACCAGTTAGTTTTGCTTGCTGGAGCTGGGATGTAAAGGCACTGGTATTCTCATTCCCTCTTCTCCCTCCTTTCCCCAAAACAGCAGTACCATTTCTTAGTATGCAGCTTATGCTGAAACTGCCACAGAGCCCAGATATGGACAACGACAGCTATGCAATAGAGAGCTTTAGTCCACATAGCTTCCAAAGTCTCTTTTAGCTAGTACTTTGACAAATGAGAACCTGAATGTGCCCTGTACATACCTTGCTTTGCATCTGGGAAGGTGAAGGGAAACACTAGGTACCATCTTTTTGGTCCATTATCCTTATTGTTTATTCTAATATGCAGATTTAAGAAGGTTTTGTCTGGAAGCTCAGCAAAACAATTTATCTTCAACTGTGGCAGGATTTCCTAGACTTCTGAAGGCTGATCCTCCTGCTTCAGGAAAAGGAGCAAGGTCAGGCACTTGGCAGTTTTCCTATGTGCCCTGCGTGCTTCCTCCCCATCCTGACCTACTTTGGATAACCCTGAGGCACGTCACCATTGCCTTGGGCTTTGTTTTTTCAAAAACACCACCTCAGATTGTCCTTCAAAAAATTACCCCCCTGACAGTTTCTCTTTAATGCCAGTATTTTAAGAGGTTACTTGTTGCCACTGTGAATGTCAGTATTCACCCCGTCTATACTTTGACACAGATCTCTCCTGCTATCCTATTAGCAAAGTATTATCACATTTAAATCCAATTATCATTAATTCAAAAGACAGCAGTGAAAGCTCTTCTATGGTTTTAGAGGCTGGAAATAAGTGTCACCGGTTGAACTTTGTGTTTTTGGTTTTTTTTATAATTAGGTGCTGACTTTATTCCCAGGACTGAGAGCACGAACTACTCTAGCTCAGGCACAGGGTCCCTAGGCATCACCAAAGTGTTACTGGGATCTCTGAAGCCCTGCAACAAATTTCAGACTCTGTTAGAGATGCCTTGGAGCAAACTTCCAGCAGACTGAAAAACCTCTGCTTTCAGTAAAATTTACAGCTACCACCAAATTGTGTTAACACATACATAGTGCTTCAATTCCATTTGCCTGGTTCAAAAGCACATGTTAACTTGGATTTTAGGATATAACACAAAAAGCTGGTGTAAGCATGTAAGGAGGTGGTAATAAAGCTGTAAGCTTTTGTTGTGACCTCTGCAGCAGAAAGCAGAGATGACTTGTCTGGTTATGAGAGAAATACAACTCCTGACAAAATCCTGTACCATATATGAACTGCATGAAATAGTTCTGATATGTGAGAACCTTCTTTTTCTTAATATATTTTAGAACAGATTCTCCCACTAATATCTTCCATAAGCACACAGGACAACTCTGCTGCAGCACAATAAACCATTTCTTGGCTCTGTGCTTTTTGTATTTCAATGCCCTTTCCTGGATTCTGCTCTCAGCTAAAAGAGATGGATTCATTTAGCAAACAAAAATGCAACTACTCTGAAGTTTAATAAACTAAATTCATGTCATGAACTAGAGACCTTCTCTTTCTCTGCCTCCTCAAGCAAGCTTTTCAACTGGCTTCTAAGCAAGTGTTCAAACTTCTTTAAAAGCAATACTGTAAAAAAATTAAATCAAAGTGGCTTTTACTCTCTCTTCATACCTACTACTTTCCAGAGAGCTGGTATGTGGACCAGTAGATTCACTTCCTGGACACAGAAAACACAAACTCCCCTGCAAACAGCTGGAGTGGTGCCTGGTGTTGCAGACAACCTCGTTCATGTGATGCAACCCCACAGCTTTCCTCCACCAACACTCGAACCAAAACCAAATCTGGGTGGTTACACTAAATAAAATCATACTAAATATTTTTTTTCTATTATGTTTAAGCAATGAACATTTATATCCCAGAACTACACAGAAGTGATATAAACTCAGACACAGAAAGGATCCACGCCACCACAAACATTAAAAGTGATCCTGCTCTGGTTCTGGCTCTATTAAACCCTCCTTAGAGAATTCTGTGACTACAAAGAGGGAATTTCATGGTGTCAGTTTCTAGGAGCTGTGCTGGGGTCACAAGTGGTGTGCCAAATAGTGAACACCTGATCACACCTCACCAGGAGAAGGGCTGTTGTGGTAAGGAAGTGGTGGCAGATAAAGAGCAACTTGCTAAAAAGGAACAAGAGCAGCACTCCAGCACCCTGGCACCTTGCTTTGATCCAGGAATCACAGAAGTTGAGGCTGGCTGCAAGTTTGTGGTATTATTATGCTGTCTCTCACAGACTCAGGACATTACCCTATTTTCCCTCTGCATGAAGAAACAAAACAGTCCTGAGATTATGTTGGTTCTAGCAAAAACAACCACCATATATAGAGACATGGGCTGCACTTTCTTAATCTGCCAATGCAATGCTAATAGTCCTGGAAACTACTGTCCTGGAGAAAACTTTCTTTGGAAATATGAACACCCTTCAGCTTAAATATGATGAAGATTTTGGAAAATAATGATTCCATGCATAAATGAAGTCTGATGCTTCAATAATACTTTTAAAGAAGATAAATATGGATCAGTCTTGGGTGAAGGTGATCAAGAACAACATACTTCTTGTGAGGGAAAGTGGGCTGCTCTAATACTTATCAGCATAATTCTTTATTGATGCTATCAGCTTTCAACAACTGACTAGAAGTTGTGGGTTTAGCACCCCTCAATCACAAAAGCATCAGTGCCACACTCTTTCAAGAAATTACAAAGGATGCCCAGAAACACAGTTTGTTTCTTAGGCTGTGATGATGTTATTGGGAGTAGGCAGAGATAGATGCAGAGAAACATGAAACAACCATATAAAGGCAAAGAAAGTCTGTTGTAATCACTAGCTGAGTTCATTCTGTATTTGTAAGAAGCGTGTCAACTCACCCAACAGAAGCTGGCAGCTATGTGTGTGCAGCTAGTTTTTCCAAAGGAAGGCCAAAGCAAAACTAGAGTGTTTGTTCTGGCATCAAGACAGTCTCACCCCAGCTGAAATCTCAGCTGTGTTTGTTCTAAGTTCAGCATTATCTTAATTCTACTCAGTGTATTCCTTTCAGATACACAGACATTCTTGAAACAAATAATAATCTGCATTCAGAAGTAATGTTTTTGGGGAGGGTTAGCTCTGGTGAGGTCACCTGAGCAGTCAGCAAGCAAAAAGGCAGCCACAGTCTGCTGTTCTTCAGTATCAGGAGCTTTTATAAAATCCTGCACTGCTCTAACTTTTTTATATGGAAAAAATGAAGCATAGGGAGATCATCTGGTGTACTGTAGGGTCAATAATTACCAATATTGTTGCACCCTCATTTGAGAAAATTGACAACATACCATAATTCCGAGGTAGAGGCTCTGGTTTTCAAATCAGAGCAGTAACAAAGCACACCAATGTTTGCAAAAATCATGTCACACACAAACTATGCAGCTCAGGGAGTGAGTTGGCTGTACTAAACCCAAAAAGCAAAATAATGACATTAACCTTATCAGAGAGAGGTCTGTGGCTGCCTCCAGTTACGCAAGCATTGTCTGGAGGAGTTGTCTGGGACCTGCAATGAGATGGGGAGAGCATCACTGGAGCCTTGGAAAGAGCTGTGGAAAGTGAGGGGAACATTGCTGTGGTTGGGCTGAGTTCCTGGGAAGGGGACAGAGCTAAAGAGACCCCCACACCCCACTGAATGTGGGTGGGTGCTGCTGTGTGCAGGTGGAGGAGGTGACACCTGCCCCAGGAGCTGTGGGCCTGCTCACCAGACAAGAGGGGCTGGCAGGCCTGTGGGATGTGGTGACTGTGCCTAAACCTGGGTGAGCATCGGCTGGGGTCACACCAGGAACAGCTTGGTGTCCCCAGGCTTGACCAGGACTGCTCCTGCACCTCCTGGCTGGCAGGGAGGGACAGTGTGGAGCCAGCAAGCTCTGCCCAGAGCCAGGCTCCATGGCCAATGTGCCTTGGCTGCTCCCCATGCCCTGCAGGGCTGCACCGGGGTGCCAACTGCTGCCTGCTATGGATCACACAAAAGCTCTGATACAGGGCCAGGTGCTCTGCACAAAAGTCCTTTCCAGATCTCTGGAGCTTCCGGCCAGTTCCTTCACCACAAAACCCTCTTCACTTTCCATCAAATCACTTGCACTTACTCTCTAAGGTATATGACTGTCTGTGAGAAGGAAGAAAAGAACAGGAAAAAATATTAAAAGAAACATAAAAATTGTAACTACTTTACGGAAAAATCTCACAGAATACAAAAATGAAGCCTGAATTTTATAGAAAGAGTCCCACAGAAATTATAATGTGAAGTCTAAAGAATTTTATCAAGAATTTTTACTTGTTCTTTTCATCTAAACCTGTATTCAGGCTACAGATTTTTGCAGCAAGCCTTAAAAGTCCACTTATAAAGCAGTACATTATCATTTGGACCTTACATAATGATTTCCAGAGGAATCATTCCTTCTGCAAATCAGCATTTCCATATTTGAATGAGAGTTCACCTTGAACATTCATTATTATTGTTCTAACTGAACAGTTTTACAAAACACTCTTTTGGTACCTTGCAAATGCACTTCAGTGAAGTACTGCAAGATAGGAAAGATAATTACCTTTGCATCTTTATATGGCTGCCCATTAAAGAACCTGCAATGGGACTGAACGTTGTCATCTAAGTTCCCACAAATATATTTATGCCTCATAGCAGGAAATTAGTTACATTCAGAGCTGGATTTGTATCCTTATTCATAAAATGCCAGCTGTGATGAAAGTATTAGGGACATTAGTAACTGCCAGTCCCAATATGCCAGTGGATGTAACAACCCACTATTCCTAGGTGGGAATTTAATGGCCTGTTAGGTTGACATAACCACATAGAGTGTCTAGCTGCTGGAAAGAAGGACTTTAGCATCTCAGTGGTTCTTAAGAGACTCATCTCCCAGAGAAGGCAGACACACAAAATGTATCAGAGTCTGAGTTTAAAATACGATATAATTTTGTAAATTGTATTATCCAGACTTATCATGCATGTATCAGCTTTGAATTTAATCTCGGCATTAGCTGACTATTCCCCAGAGACGTACCTTGCCAAGAAGATGTACTTTCATTACTTTCCCATTTGATTTTTATAATACTAATCCCAAGGCAAGCCTAAAAAAGCAGAACAGTGATTAAATCCCCATCTGGTTTTGCAGAAAGTTTGTGGAGGTTGGAAAAGGGCTTAGGAAAGGATAATTTACAACAGATACATAGCTTTCAGATCAGATTTAGTAACATGACCAGCCTTAGGGAAACAGGACAGGCCTTGCTACTGAAATCCTTGCAGATTTATTGCTGTATTCATGACCTTAAAATTGGCATGAGATGCTGCCTCTTGCCATCAGCTGCTCAAGATGCCGATGCTCTGCCCTCAGCAGGAAACTGGCACCAGAGGGGTGAGCAGGCTCCTACAATGTGCTGTGCCTCATGTGGCAGATGAACCATTTCCATTTGGTAGTTATGGTGGGGCTTTTTGTTTGGTTTTTTTGTTTGTTCATTTTCTTGTCTTTTTATTGTTTGTTTTGTTTTGTTTCCTGGCACCTGATAGATGAGTTGGCTTTTGTAATCTTCTGCATCCTGTGATCACTTGCTGTCTTGTTTTGTTTCCTGTTGTTGGCTTTTGTAATCTTCTGCATCCTGTGATCACTCGCTGTCTTACTGAACTGGTAACAACACAGGACTTGGGAATGCATGGGGGAAGAAAGGGGTACATAGTACCTTGCCTGCCATTTCCCTTTTCATCTGCCTGCTCATGTTCAGAAGTGACTACAGCAGAAAGAAGTGTGTGAGGAGTGGCCTCAGCCAAATACACTTGGCTCATGGAGACTCAGAGGCAATTGCTGTCACAGACAAGGTCTAGTGCAGACCTAAATTAAAAAAAAATCAGGAATTTTAGGTAAAAAGAACATAAACTCTGGTTTCTTTTGCTTCATTCCCCATCTCTTTGCAAGCTGCTGTGCTCACCTTTATGAGAAGTGTCTGCAATGAGACATGACAGTGAGAGTATTGGAAGGGTGCTCAAGAATAGTCTGAAATAGCGTTTTTGCTTGCCTGAAGCATGCCTGTGATTGCCAAGTCATGCTCACACACTAATACTAACAAGAGCCTTGTTACTGAGAGGGCAGGCTGATAGCCTTGGCACAAGAAGCTGTTCCTTCAGCTGCAAATCCAGTCCAGCTCACAAACAGGCTTTGGCTCCATCCTGGAGAAGCAATGCTGGGTCCCTCCCCTGTGGACTGTTACCAGAAGACTGGTAAGAGCATAAACAAGGGAAATTATCTCCTTCTCAAAATCAGCAATTTCACCCTTGAAGAAGAGACAGTTCACCTTTAACAAAGCTAAATTATATAAAGGTAAATTAAACTATAGTTTCATTTGAACAGTTTTGTGAAACTGTAGGACTGGGACAGCCCTCTGCCAGGAGAAAGCTCCTGCTGATGAACCACACCACTGGAGGGGCCAAAGCCCACAAACCCAGCTTTAGAGAGCGAGTGCCAGACACCAGGTTACTCTAAGTAGTCTGATGTCCACAATGCACAAATCACACGCACAAACTGCAGCATTAAATGAAAGCTCTACTGTGCTTCAAGAATGCATTACATTTAAAAGGTAGAGGTAAATAGGTGGTGAATTGGAATTAGATAAAGAAAACATTTAACAGTGGTTAAAAAATTGATAATGCAAGACTGTGTATGTTCTTGCAGAGGAAATACTTTCAGGGTTTTTAAGAACATATTTTTTTTTTTTTTTTTACATCCTAAAGTGTCAGCGGTCTTTTGGGCAAACACTCCATCAGACTGAAGTGAGGATTTATGTGGGGATAAAGCCTTAGGGGCAGAGTCCTGCCCAGTGTGAACTTGCACCTTTAGAGGAGGCTCCTTGCACCTTTTGGAGGATGGCTCTGCTTGTTTGAATGGATTTCTTCCTGCTAATACTCTGAATTACAGCTCTTGGTGCTGACAATATACATGACTCCAGCAAGCTCTCCACATATCTCTGTGCCAGCCTATCAACAGCATTTCTTGCCTTGGACTGACTCAAAGTTCTTCAACAACTTTAGAGAACAACTGGCAAACACCACATCTCCTATTGCAACAGAGGGAAAAACAGCAACAGATCAAGTGAGTAGGGGACAAACACCCAACTATTTCAGAATAAATGAAAAAAAACAGTTAGATTGGAAGAGTAGTCTCTTTTTGTTGTTGTCTTTGAAGTATTTCCCAAATGTGATTGTGATGAAGTTAAAGGTGATGAATTATACAAACTCATGTTGAGACACCAACACAAACACCCACCTGCAGAAATTGCAAAGGTTAAACATTCTAGACAATGATTTACTTTATTAATTCACCCTCATCATTCCAAACTAAACATTCAAAAATGGCCAACAGTTTTGCAAGAGAGTCTTTGTAAGGAAGGCACTGCCTGCAGATCCGTGCCAGGTCTGTACCCCCTGCAGCAGCCACATCCTCGGGGCAACTGCACCCCGTGATGCAGAGTCCTGCAAGGGCATGGATGGTCAAACTCACCTCAGGCACAATTTCATCTACAGCAGGGGAGTTATACTGCAATGTGAGTAGGCACACTTAAGCCCAAACACAGAATTTGAGCAGCTAATTTATGTTTCTATTAATTCTCAAATGAACAGGATGCATGTAAAAATGTTTAAATGTATGCTGCATAAATACCCATGGGAAACAGACACAAAAGTGCTCATGCTGTTTTTCTTTTTTCTTCATAGTATATTCAGAACCACAATGTTCCTGCAGCTGATTATGGTCTCTCCCACAGATTGGAGAGCTATAAGCCCATTTCAATCTACTTTCCTCGTCTTGACAAAAATCAGTTCACAAAAAAATGAGAAGTTCCTTGAGAAATATGCACAATATTTGGTGCAATAGTACTTCAAGGCAGAGGGGAAAACCTACAGGAATGCTATTTACCTGAAAACAAACACCTCCTCAATTAAAACTGAAAGTATTTGTGTTTCAAGGATTTATAAGAAGCAACTTAATAATAAGGCAATTTAGGAATATACAGAGGGGATAACAGCCTTCTATGGTTTTGGCATGCTCTGTGTTTTATACAAACATTTGCAAAACATCCAAATTTGATAAAGGGGAGAAGTATTAGAAAATAAAGATTGAAATATGTCTTTTCATTGTGCAGATTGCAATTCTATGCACAAAGTTATGATTTCCATAAATAAGGAGAGAATTATGAAGTTGTTAAGTTTGGGGAACATATTTTGTAAACCACTGAGTATATAAATAGTTGTATTAAAGTCTTTGCCAATCAAGTTGTCAAACTGAAATTCCTACAGTCAAAACTTGAGTTCTGTAATGACAGCATTTTTACAAGTTGGTAAGTATGGGATTCATCCAAAGCCTTCTGCAATCAGTGAACATTTTCATGGGCTTGAATAAGTACTTTAACAGGATATGCTCCATAATGCAAATGACACAGCATTCTCAACACCTATCTCTGCAAAACTGCTCAAAGCTTTATAATAAAAATGGATTATTTTCAGCTTAGAATTTTGCAGCATATTAAAAATTCAAAGTCTCATTTTGGCTCCAAATGCATATTTTTCAAGATAGTAGTTTTCAAAGCTTTCTGTATTTCATTTACCCACATGAAAAAAACCCAGCTAATGAGTAGAACAGAGAACCAAAAGTCATGAAATCCAGGTTGGGTTCAAATCTAAACATGATTTAGTGCAAAACAGTCAAAACAGTTCAGTGATGGAATTTCAAAGTGCCATAGGCATACTCTCCTCCAGCACTTGAAATGCAAAGATTTTCTACTAACAAAATCTGCAAAAAACCAATTAAACTTCTTTTTTCAATTATCTGCAACTCAGTAGAGAGCTTTGCAGAAGAAATAGCCTAGAAAGCATTCATAAATTTTCACAGAGTGGTATGGCTTTTGCAAATACCCACTAAAAAATAATATATACAAATCCCCCCATATGTTATAGAAGTGGAAATTTTAGGATGCCTTAAATCTTGCTTGTTCACACAGAATTACTATGCAGTGTGGGATGTGGACTTGACTATTAAAAAGTAACAGTTAGAATTGGCGATAAGGCCTCTTTCTCTCATAGAAGAAAGACAACTGGCATGAGGAAATAAATCCCACACCTGATGTGAAGGGCGAATGAGTGTGGGATGCAGAGGTTCCCTGCCTGCTCCATTTAGAGGCTGTTGAGCTCAAGGCCTGACCCAACACCAGAGCTCCCCAGAGAGAAGGAAGCTACTCCAGAGAAAAGAATCCTTTCACTGCTTCAGAGTCCAGGCTTGAGGTTTATGAAGGCTTGAAGGCTAAATGCAGCCTGGAGATTGTAGGGCTGATATAAGGATAAAAACATGCAATTTTCAGAGATCTATAATAAAAAAAGAAGTTTGTTCTATGTAATAACTGGACAATTTTCCAGGATGTCTTTCACAGTATTCTCTGTGTTTTAAGCCAACAAAGTATTCCTGGCTTGGTATTTTTGCACATTGCTCAGGAAAATTGCACACTGAGACATGAAACAGAATAGTAATTTAGTTTTTAGACTTACCAGACTTTCCAGAATACTTTCCCATTCTTGGTCCCTTTTGTCCATGGTTCACACCTGGCTTGTGAGAAGGAGGGAGGGTTTCAAGCATCACTCCTGAGCATGATTAATATTTAGTTCAGCTAACAAATCACTAGATTTACAGGAAACAAAGATTATTATCAAATCACACAATCTTAGAAGGGCTTTGGTTGAAAAGGACCTCAAAAATCATCTAGTTCCAAACTCTTTGACATGGGCAGGGACACCTTCCACTAGACCAGGTTACTCACAGCCCTATTTCACCCAGTCTTGGACATCTCCAGGGATGGGGAGCACACAATTTCTCTTGGCATCCTGTTCTAGTATCTCACCACCTTCACAGTGAAGAATTTCTCCCCAATATCTAATCTAACCTTCCCTATCTCAGCTTAATGCCAATTCCTCTTGTCCTATCACCTCATACCTTTGTCAAAGGTCCCTCTCCAGCTGCCTTGTAGCCCCTCAGGTACTGTAAGGTGCTGTAAGGTCTTCCTGGCACCCTCTCTTCTCCAGGCTGAACAGCCCCAACCCTCTCAGCCTGTCTTCATAGGAAAGGTGCTCCAGACTTGAGATCAGCTTAGTGGCCCTACTTTGGACTTGCTCCAACAGGTCAATGTCCTTGTCTTGGGACCCTCACACCTGGACAAAGTACTCCAGGGGCGGTCCCAAGATAAATCAAAATAAAAGTGCAGTGGGGGTATTTTATTTTCCTGATGTGAGGAAGTAGAAGGCCATGGTTCCCACTGAGGCAGAAATGAAGCTTTTATTCCACTTGGAGATGTTTAATAAGAGCAACTGCAGAAGTTAAAAGCTCATGCAGCACTCATGACAGTGGGAGAACCCTGTTCTCTCAGAGTGACTCAGGGTGTTCACCTGGAGGAGGAGAGGACCAGCCTCCTTCTGTCTGATTCAAACCACAGATTTAGGAACTCAAGGGTTACCAACACCAAAAATTAAGTCCTGCCTTCAGAAAGCCAATTCCACCCCCACCCCGCCCCCACCATTGGTAAATGCTCTGACCACCTGAGTGTTGAATGGGAACAGATGGAAAAGCACGACACCTTCCTCACTTTGTAAATAAAATATTTCTCCCCATAAAGCTCATTAGTTGAAATTAGCCATTAAATTTTATCAGCAATTGTGGATCAAATGGAAACCTCCAGCAGGGTCTGAATGCACAAGAGATAATTACTATAGGTTTGAATAGCTGCAAGCATGAAAAACCCTGTAGCTGTAGTTTATGGATTCTCGATTTATAAAATGTAATTTTTGACATACATTGTACATACATCTGTATTTCTTACTGCAAAAATCAGACACCTTTGCTACAAAAGTAAGTCAGTGGTGACATAAGCACTTACACTACCGACTAGATGTATTAGGGAAGGTCAGGAGCAGTTACAAAGTAGAACATTGCCCTAGAGTTACCTCGGTGTCCAGTTTCCTTCAGCCAAAGCCAGCCTGTGCCCTGCTTATGGGCAGTCTGGGAACCCCACCAACAAATCCACTGAAACAAAATCCAAATCCAAAAAACCTAAAAAAGGCAGAGAGATGGTGGGGTTTTTTTAATAATTATTTTCTTCAAAATAAATGGCTAGTATTTGACCTACTAATCCTATCAATTTGGTAACAAACCTACATTTCAAATTTATTTGCTCACCTCCACTTATCAATTTCTAGCAAAACCTGTTTGAAAAAGATTGAGAAATCATGAATGGAATACAGAGCCAAGATACTGGTGAGCTTCAGCTGTGATCTAGCCTTCACTGGCTGAGTGACACAAACAAGTGGCAATGACTTCAAAGTGAAAAACTGGGAAGCATTCAGAGCTGAAGGGAAGGGCTGAAGCTGGCTTGCTGCACTGCCAGACTCTGCTGCAGCCTCTCTGCTGGCTCAGCAAACAAGGTCTCCCACCAGCATTGATCAGGCTGGCTTAAAACCGGGTCCCTCTAGACAGACTTGAGACAGATACTGGTAAACTCTTCAGCTTTCTACATATTGCTGAAAAGGCTGGGATGTCATATGGTCCAAGACAAACCTTGGCTTCTTTTTCACTTCCTAAGTGGGGCTCATTTGCACAACTCTGACATTCAGTGCAGGAGAAACCCACTACTAACAGAAATTAGGTAAGCATGGGCTATAACAGGGTCAGTAGAGAAAAAAGCAAACATCCCCAAGGTAATTCAAATAATAAACTAGTGGCAACAAAAAGGAAGAGCAGATTGAGTTACAACGACTGATCTGAAGCTTGTGGGGTTATCCCTCAGGGATTTTTGTTCCAGGATATCTTCAATATGTAGTGTCTGTCTAGCTCCTCAAAAATGAGAGAACAGCACAGCAATTCTCTCCACTTCCCTCTGCCACCACCTCAAACCAATTGTTTTTAATCTGCCTTTCTTTTTCTTCTTAAGAGGCAGAGACACATTTACAAGTTGCACCCTAGAGACAGAAGTCATCATCCTTTTGCAGCAGCTTTATCTATGTGTTCTTCCTTAATATTAGAATCACTTTGATTTATGAAGATGTGCTGCAAATAGAGGATTGACATCGCATCTAGCTAGGATAAGGACAGACAAGCCAAATAACTCATGAGTGCAAGTGACAACTCAGCTCTAAAATGCCTGTTAAATTCCCTTAAGTTACCCAGTGTTTTGAGAAAATACAAAATAAAATCTGATACCTAGGGAAGAAAAAACAAAAAACCTAGAAAAAATGGTCACAAATAGCCAACAGGATGATTTTCTAATCTAGGAAAATTCAAAGTGAAAGCCTCTATTTCTTTATCATTCTACAATTACATATCTACTGTATTATGAATGACAGCAGATCTTGAACATGGTGAAAGGCAGCAGAACTATACAAAGAATACAGATTGTTGCTATAAGTAATGACAGGAGAAATTAATCAAGGATTGGTTGTGCTGCATGAAAGTAGCAATTTCATCTTCCCAGTACACCTACAAGTATGAAAATGTTAACTGAATGTATGATTAAGCATAGCAGCTGTGCTTATGTCACTTAGAATTAATAAGCCTTACTAATAAAGCCAGCAACAAATAAATTGAGAAGAAATTCAAGGGCAAAAGATAAAGCGAGACTACCTTTGCACCATAAAATAGAAAAGCCTTGATGCATTGAGGTGCCCTGAAGAGGGAAGAGAAACACAGAAAGGCCATTTTTTCTTTTGAACAATGATGTGAAAAATGATGCAAGCAATTATACCTTCAGATCCCCAGCTGCAGTGTACCCACTGCCAACAGTTACAGATGAAAACCATACACAACTACAGCTACAAGAGGATGTAAACAAAGAGATAAAAAAAATTCCTATACTATCACTTTCATGTCAAAACCCATTCCTAACATCTCCCGTGCTTTTGCTACATACCTACAGCAGTTTACACAAAAACAACCAGGGAATGAGGAACAGAAGACACAGCTGTTGTGCCTGCCTCAACACCTTTGATTATAAGATGGTGTTTTATGTTTAAAATCTGGTACATAAAATATCTGGAAAATAAAACAGTTTCTAAACTAATTTCATTGAGATTTCAGTTCTGTACCTGAGAGTTCTTGGCCAGCATTATAGACTGCTGAAGAAACTTCCCATTTTAAAATGAAGAATTAAGGGGTATCTAATTGTCAGTATAAGAAATACATTAAAATACCCCCCGTAAGGGTTTGAAACCCCTCACCAGTAGAAACTGGGCCAGCATGTACTGGGAGACAATCAACAGGAAGAAAGCAAACATCCCCCTGGTAATTCAAACACAGCTCGGTTGTAATACCACAGGAGATTTCAGCCCCTATCTGACAACTAACAAAGCAATGTAAACAATTATTAACTTGGAATCCTTTTCACATTTTGCAGTAATTTCCAGTAGCACAAGCTACTGGAAAGAGAGTTTTCACCTTCCAGCATGTGCCATTTGATGTAACAGCTTAATGCACTTTCAACGAATGTGCAGAAATATTATATTGAATAGATTCTGGATCCTAAAGCAAAACCACTCAAATCAAAATGCAATGAGCTTGTCTATATGCAATAGGAACAAATGTCTGTTTTTACTTTAAAACTTTCAATTCCAATGAATACTGATTGCTTTCAATATTTGGGAAACCTTTTCTTTCATGATAAAAATTGCCAGAAATGTTGGAATTTCAAAATAAAAGTTATGAAGAACACTTTATTGACATCAGTAAAATCAGACAACGCAATAAACGTACACAAGGGTGCATATAGGAAAATAAAAGACTTTAATTTTAGCTTTATCTAACACAGTTATTGAATTAAAGAAAATATTTTCAGCTCTTAAACTCTCTAAGATATTCTACTCTAGAAATATGTAACCTCATCATTTAAGGAAATAAAATTAGATTTCTGTAACTAAAAAGTGATTCCATTAAAATGCTAAGGAAGTAAATTTCTTCTATTCTGCTACTATGCTCATCTCTATTTTACACAGACCACATTTACCTGCTATGGTTAAATAAATTTTCTATTAATAAAGGTTAAAGAATTAATATGCATTTAATATAGAAAACATGTCTTGTGAGGGTGTTCAAGTATCTGAGCAAGATACTTTTCCATCTTGGAATCCAGACAGAGTTGGGAAAAGATCCCTCTTTAAAGTACTTGAGCAAGATGACAAAATTAAATGCCTTCTCTGCTCAGTGTGGCACATTACCACTAATCAAAGCCAACTATTAAAAGCCCCAAGCACTACACAGTCTTTGGAAACCAGCATTGTGAGGTTCATAAATTCACCAGAAGACAACCAAAACCAAGACCCACATATTTGAGTTTAAACCCTGTGGCTTTCAAAAATGGCTGTGCTTTAGCTACTTTATATCCTGCTGGATTAATTTTTCCAGAGGACAAAATACAGTTCTTGACTTCCACAGTACTGCTACTGACACAAAACAAATAGCAAAAAAAATTCATGTTCTAGCTCTCCACTAGAGCAGAGATTGAATGTACACTGAGTAAACTCACCCCTTGACAAGTTGTTTGAATTACATAATGTAGCCTCAGATAGTTCTGTTCTGGTAATGCCAGTGGAGGCTGGATTGTTATTATCCATAGTATGGCAACGGCCAGAGATCCTGGTGAGAACATAACTAAAGATTCTGTGAGAGCAGATTCATCTCTCCTGGTTAATAGAAACCATGTTATAGAGTTAAAGCAGCAAATAAACAAGAAGCCCTTAAATTAAACCTGAACACCATATATCTACAGAATCTAGAATGGCTCTCATGGGAAGAAAATACTACATCAAAAAGTAAAACTCTCACTCACTATAAGTGCCAAATCATTAAATTGATCCCAAAAAGAAAAATAGTAAATGAAACCTTGCTGTAGTAGAACACACAAGACATTAATGATATATCATTTCATTATGCATAAAGGTATTACTTAACTCCATTATTAACTCTAGTACTGCAGAAGAGTCCAGAACTGAACTTAGTTTGCCCAACTTATGTGAACTTTTCCCACCTTTCCAGAGTCTAATGAGCAACTGCTTCACCATATCATCAGAAAAAAATCTCTCCATCTTCCTTGACCTGTTGTGTTTTACATAAAGGCATTGGGGTTCAAATAATTAAGTGAGAATTTAATTAACAATTTGAAAGGTGCAGATCACTGGGGGCCATTTTTGCTCATTAATTTAACAACAAAACCTACTTCACTATTAATTAGAACACTTCTAACACAAGTGAAACAGCTGTGGCAGACCAGGCCACCTCATTATTTTCTTATACACATGAATATTTAAAAGTGCAAGGATCTTCAACAACACACAGACGAGTACAGACCCTTAAAAAAAAAAAAAAAAAGAAATAGGCTGAAAAATTACTTGACCTAAACAAATTTATTCGAAGAAAACAACTAGGGGCTCTAGGAAAAAAACCAAACATATTACTGTCTGACAGTCAGGACATGGAACCAGAGGCTTTGAGGGACCTTTCAGATATTTTCATTCTTTCAAGAAGGAGCTCTAAAAGAATACTAAATACCACAGCTACAAAGATTAACAGTGGGTATAACATTTGCTTCTGAAGGAAGTCAACCAGTATCAACACCAACTACTACTACATAGAAGGAATCTCACCACTTTTGGCCAAAAAATCAAAAGTATATACAGCATTTCAATTTGAAGCCCCAGTGCCAGCCTTCTGATCCCTAGCTGAAACAAGATAAGGCAAGCCAGGTGTTTTAACCTCTTTCCAAATATCAGTCTTGAGGCTATTGACTGATCAGAGATCAGGTATAATCAATCTGCTGTCTGAGGTTTTGGCAGAGTCTTTCATTGGTCCCAAAACCACATTAGGAACTCTAATGAAAAGAGAGGACACCTTCAAAACCCAGCACTAGATCCAAGAAGCTGCTTCTCCTTTCTCCATATTTGTTTGCTGTAAGTAAATTTATATTTGCTGACTTTGCAAATTTGCGATTATTTGTGATATAAATTTTTAAGACATTAACATTATGTGCATTTATAATATCTACTGTTAGCTAAGAGGAAAGTCTGACCTCTAATTAAATTGATTCAATCTTCATCTTTGCTGCCATCTGTAGGTAACTTGAGTGGTACAAAGGTAACTGCTCTGTCATCAGGACCTGTGTCCATGAGAAAGCACGATGTTCTTGTTACCTGTCTGTCCTGATTTTAGTGTTCAAATCAGGCAGAAAAATGTACAACAGCTTGTGGCTTTGCACCTCCAAGTAATCCTGCAACTGAGGTAGTTCAGAAAAAAAAGGAAAATTTAGTTAGAATCACAAAATCATAGAATGGTTTGGGTTGGAAGGGGCCTTAGAGATCACACAGTTCCAATCCCCAGCCCTGGGCAGGGATGCCATTCACTAGACCAGGTTCCTCAGGGCTCCATTCAGCCTGGCCTTGAATACTCCCAGAGGCATCCACAACTTCTCTGGAAAACCTGTTCCCGTGCCTCTCCATCCTCTGAATAAAGAACTTCTTTCACCATCTCATCTAAACTTACCCTCTTTCAGTTTAAAACCATTCCTCCTTGTCCTGCTGCTATCTCCCCAGAGAAAAAGTCCCTCTCCCCCTTTCTCATGAACCCCCTTCACGTACTGGAAGGCTGCAATTGCATGTTCCCAAAGCCTTCTCTTCTCCACATGGAAAAACCCCAGTTGTTGGATCCATGATGAGGATCCATGCTATTTTACAGCATTATTACACCATGGGATGCACCAGAACACCTGTAATTTTGACTGTAAATATGAAATATAAGTCTTGGTGTATGTTTGGTTGTTGGAACATAGTTTCTTCTCAGTGAGCTATGCAATGTTTTAGGAGAACTGTTATGGTAAAGAAAACTTCTCAAGAGAAAAATAAACCAAAAGCAGAGAGGTTGATCATAATTTTAAACCCATTATGACCAATTTTGGAAATCTGAAATTATACAAGTGAGGTCAGCATTTGAAATATTTGATTTAATGACTGGACAATTTTGATACATAAAAATAGATACTTAGTAGTGAACAAGTTTATACAAACAAGATTTCTTTTGTACAGTACAAAACAATGATGGAGATAAAAAAAGATTTGCTGGGTTACAGGGCAAGACACAAGAACAAAACACCATTGAATAAATTTTTTAAAATTATCAGAGGCTTCTTTCATAAATACAGTGTAATGCTTTCATTTAACAAATACAAAATTTACTATTTAATTTATCAACATCAGGAAATATATAAAATGTCTTTGAATGACAATCTGATTTAAAAACTGATGCAAATACAATAGCGTTTTTAGAATTCTGAGGTAATATTACACATTATCTCAAAAAAAGCTTCAATAAATAAAACTGAACAAAAGGCAAAGTGCAATTCAGTGAAAAGGAGAAAAGATAAAGCTTTTATTTTAACAATAGTAGATAAATAGTTATTAAAAGCAGGTTTAAGCCTTAAAAAAATATTTTGGCTAATTTGCCATGTTTTCAGATAAACTGTATAGCTATTTATTCATAAGCTCACCTTTCACGAATCCAATTCAACAGACGAAAGGCAGTAGGTCTTTGTTTCCAGGTTTCCTACTTACATCCACATTCAGGTGTTAGAAATTTAACATTGCTTGCGGCTATCTAGTTCATTCAGTGCAACAGTGAAAGCTTAATTTATTTCTCAACATCTGAAATGCTGCAAGTTAAAATTTATTTTAAAATGTCCATTTGGGAGATATAATGTAAAAATGCAGAATTTTTCAGTGCTGCTTTTAGCACACTTTGTGCTAACTAGTATAGTTCCAGGCTAAAGCTAATGGAAATTTTATTACTAGTTTCAAAGACAGCACTATGAATACAGTGTCAAATATTCTAAAATATCCTAATATTTATCTCTGCCTTAATAAAACAGTAAAATCACCAGTAACTTTTCTAGGAGAAATAAAAAAAAAAAATTTTACTCTTAGCTATTGAAGAATATCCAGAACAGCTTTGAAAGCATGAATTAGACAGATTAATTTGTTGATCATCAGTAAATCTGTTGATTGTATGTAAATAATACAGAGAAAGAAAGAAGACTAATATAGTATTTGAGTGCAGACACTACAAGATAGATATGCATCCATGCCCCAGCAGAAGTCATTGGGGAAAGCTGACAAATTAGATGCCAAAGTGTCTCAAGTGATCTGGGCCTTATTCAGCTGAAAGAAAAATCTACAGAACACACAGTAGCTGTTCATATTTAAAACTACTACACTGCATGCTGCTAAATTATTTCCATTTAATGAATAAAACCCAGACTTAAAATTACTTCAGTATTTTAGAACCGTTTCTTCCCCAGCTGCTAATTTACTAACTCAGAGCAGACATACCAAGAATGCCTTTCACAGAGTTTGTGCAATGAAAAATACAAAACATTTTTAAATGCTGGTCTCCAAGTTAATGAAAGTTGCAACATTCTTCAGAAATGTTATTGTATTCACTTTCATCACAGCTTATTTAAGACTTTCAACAAAGTTGCTGCAAAAAAATGATGCCGTGATAGACTATATCAGTTTTCCACAGGTTGTGGATATAATTCTCTTCCTAAAGCATTTCACCAGATGTGGAATTTATTTTAAATATCTAGTTTTGTTTACTATAATGCTACAGTAGATCTGGCTAGTCTGCTGTTAAGAATGAACATACAAATTCCTTAATACTCGTAGCTTGAACTTGAATCCCCTCAAGCTGAAAAAATACCTTTTAACACTCTTGTACAGTCAAGTGTAAAAGCTGAATATACAACATCTAAAACCTCTTATTCATAAAAAATAATTTTTTAGCAGTAAATGGCACTATCAAAACCCTATTTCTTCACAGGCAGTTATTTACATACTTCTTAGACAGTTGGTTTCACCAAGCAGGAAAACCAGAAGAATAAAACTACATACATTTTATAAAGACTAAAATTCCTATTTGCCTTTGTGAAAAAAAAAAGGCTACATGCTGATGTTATATTTTTGCTGCCACTGGGATTAACCAATAGAGAAATATTCTGTATATTTTCTCCCAGTAGGATACCTTGATGTAAAGAATTATGATTAATGTTAAAGTGCTATTAAGAAAAGCCTAACACTTGGGAATTGTCTTAGCTGGGTTTTGTTTATCAAACAGATGAGCTTTTTGTACAAAGAGAACTACTTTCTGTGACAAAGCAAGCAGCAAATGTATTGCCATTCAGGAAAAAACCATACACTTTCTATTTAATTAAAAAAAATATCTAAATGCGATAAAACTGGCACATTATCAAGAGACATGACAATGAAAAGCTTAAAGGCACAATCAGAAGAGTGTGGATGCTACATAAAAATGCTGTTCTTGGAGTATTTAATCTTATTCCAGACCAAACCCCTCTGCATTTGAAATTCCAATTATTAACTTTTGCTTCAGTTCCTTCTTGTTCTTGTAAGGAGGGAGACAAAGCTGGTTGAAGCACGTATGGGCCACAGGTAACCTAAAATAATTTAAAAAACACCCAGCAAAACATATTTAAGAATAATGCCATAGAATCAGAATGCTGCCAATTGCCTATACATTCTTGGTTAAACATTTCTTAAATAAGAAATCCTACAAAAGAAACATTTATCCCAATGTTGGTTCAAGTTCTGTTGTGGTCGAAAGTACCTCAGATCAGTTTGTTGCCTGGAACAGCCTCCTACCTTTTTTTTTTTTCCCATGTTGGAAACATCTTCCAGATTTTGGAAGCTCCAGAGTTTGGAAACTCCAGGTACTACACGAGTTCTTTAAACACAAAATCTGGGTATAGTAAGAATCTACAACATGGAAAAGTAAGGTGGGTCCTGCAGTAGGTACAGCCACACCTAGAAGAACCACAGTTCTGTGTCTGTGAGGATTCAGAATTCAGGGTTCAGCCGGGTAAAACAGGTCCTTACAACTTCAGTGGGGAGCTCTGAAGGACTGACTGAAATGCTGGAAAAATAGCAGTTCACAAATTCTGGTCTCAGCTACACCAACACTTCAGTTCCAGGCTTCTTCTGAGAGAGAGCTTGAATATATCTATTGCAGATATGGCTAAGGAATGCCTGACTGAAACACTGGAAACTTTGTTTCTCACTAGAATGGATTCATTTGATAAGCCACAGGTAATAAAAAGCTACAGAACTTCTTGTCATTTAAATTCTCAAGTGACATGGATGACACACCTGAGGATATATACTTGTCCTACAGCTGATGACTTGGCGGGGAGACAGGAGAAAGGCAATGAGCTGAAGCTCAACCTGCCATTTGAAAAACACTCTGTAAAATGTACTACAGCTGGACACACATATTTTATTATGTGACTCAAAAGCCCTCTAGGTCTCTCTTAATTTCATCCCTCAGACTTTTGAATGGCGCCAACTTGGCCTCTGATCATTGGCAAACATCCTCAAAAGTGGATGAAACCCCCAGATCTAGAAACTCAAGTTACTTTTCCCCTCCCTGCCCTTTAAATGATCAGCAAAGATCTGTTAATTTGACTGGGGTCATGGCTTCAGAATTTGGAAAGTTGAGAAGCTTTTATTAAATTTGCCAATTTTTATTGCTATTACATTACTTGATCCTATTGTGTGAGCAATATGATGGTGGTGTCTACATTTATTCCTTTGCAGGCAGTGTGACAGCAACAATTATCTTGCAAAAAATGGACCTACAGCAGTTTAAAATGCACACTATTTCAAAACACACATTCTCATTTCAAGAAAAAGAACAATTTACAGAAGGAACATAAAGAGTGATTAAATGTTGACTGATTATTCTTCATTTTTCATCTGATCTTCATGTTCCTTTAATGTTACTGGAACCACTTATTACCTCATTGAGAAAAGCATTAGAAATATCACAGTAAGGGGATAAAATTAAATTTAAAACCTCAAAATTTATTATGTTTATGCCTTTAGATCAGCTTTTCACAGAAAAGCCAGCAAAATTCAGACTTTGAAAAATATAGTTCCATTTAAGTATTTTGATCACTCTAAGTGTTTGAGAAATCTAGGTAAAGCCAGTAATTACTGCTTCACAGTGAGCTCCAGAGCAGCAAGTTTTCCTATACAGCTTTCAAATTATTTAAACTGACTTTCCCCAATCTTAAGAATGAAAATAATATTAACTGGCTTGCTATAAATAATGCCATCAAACTCAAAAAATTCAGAAAAAATCATGGTAGTTCAAGGTATATTTTCATTAGATCAGCTGTCATGTTAGGAATGATTAAATAAATAATTTATTTGAATTGAAAACATGTAAACAATCCCTATAAATAATTACCAGCCTCAAATGTAAACACTGACTGGAAAAACAATTTCCTTGTTTTTTAAATTTATGCAATCAAAAATGGGTATAACATTTTGAAGGCAAACTAAAGGAGTCCATGCAGTTTTTTCTTTGCACATTTGTTTGCTCTTCTGTAAAAAGACATTCAAGAGCAATAAGGGCTCTTGGGAAAAAATTTAATGAAAAAAATTTTAAAAACCCAAAACATTACTTACCAATTAGTGGATGTTTCACTCCTTGAAATCTTGAAATTCAGATCAGCCATTCCTCCCACAGGTACTCTATCACTTCCTGTAGCAAAATGCAGTAGCTTCTTTTGAAGATCCAGAGAAAATCCAAGTACTACATCCCAGAAGTATCTATGCTCGGGGCAGAGGGAGAAGGAAAAGTTGCAAGATGTGACATCATAAAAAAATAGCACGAAGATGATAATAAAACTACAGGTAGTACATGATGAATATCACTTACTGAGAATTTAATTAATATAGTCTATAGGACATCAGCAGTACTCCAATGTACAAGGTTAAATTCCCAAGGAATTGACAAGTACAATATTCTGGAATGATGTCTTGCCAAACGATGCCCCAACCCACTTATCTACACAAATATAAATGCCTTCTACTCGCTAATAGAAATGTCCTTAGTATCAAAAAGAATTGAGTAAAAAAATTTTTTAGAAGATTGGGTAGTAAAAATACTGAGACTTCATACTACTCCACATCAATGTGGTCATAATCTTTTAAGGATATTCAGTAAGCACATACCATTAAGGATCTAATTCTTCCTACTTATGACAATTTAGTAGTGTCTTTGTCTTATTTAGAAATAGGTTTCTAAAACTTCAGTCATTCTCAGGTTATCCTTGAAGAGAATACTGCTGGTAGATTAACATTCCATGGCATTTTATACTCAGTAATTAGAATAAAACCCATGCCTACCGTATAGTCAGATCAGTTTTCTGGTAGCCCTCATACTGGGTACTTCTCTGTAAAGCAGACATGTCCAGTTCAGGACTGCCACAGACAAGAATTTCAACCTCCTCTGGACGAAGTAACTGCCAAAAATCGAGGGCAAAATATTTAACTTTTAAAAAAAGATGAGGAATGATGCTACTAGATTAATTTTTTGTCATTACAGAAAAAATAACAGAAAATCATTCAACCTAAGTGTCTAACTTGGATACATACTGATTATAGAAAAATTAATCCCTCAGCACTTTGAACAATCCCTTACTATAGTAGAAAGTTAATTACAGGATAACACAATATTTCAGCATATTATGTTCTTTGTTTCTTCATCATTCTTACATTTATTACACTGACTTGCCTACGATGTGATCAGACTACAAATGGGTCAGGAAGAAAATTAAGTTTGTACAAATGGAAATCTGAGGGAGGGTCTTGATGTCAATTTTGATTTTAACTTCCATTTCATTTGCATTGACAATCCCAGCACAAGTAGCTGAGCAGCAGAGGCTGACAGAACTTGACTCTCAGTTGTACACACTGCTGTGCAAAGCAAATACTTCTAACAATAAACCATGTTCAATATCCACTAAACTTACACCTGCAGAACCCATTTATTCATTTACTACAACATCATCAAGTTGCGTGGAAGTATGCTATGGCATTTCAATGGATTCTCACTGTCTTTCCAGAACCCTCCCTGTGGCTGGGCACACCTCACTTTGCTGCAAGGTGTCACAGCTCACCAATTTCACTAGAATTTAGAAAATCCCTGACAAATTGAAACTTTCTCTTCTTTCTCAGTGTAGAAGGGATGCTGAAAATTAAAGAAGTCATTCCAACAGCCAAACAGAACTGAAAAGAGAAGAATGATTAATCTCAAGCTCACTGAGTGTTCTTCCTGCCAAAAGCAATATATGTTTTCAGAGGAGTCACTCAGGAGCACTCAGACACAGTTGTTCTGCAGTTCCCAAATGTAAGGAATATACAGAAACATTGTAAACCTTCACTGGAGAGCCTGTGATGTGTCTGTAAAAACAGAGTGATAAACGTGTCTTCTGGAGCTTTATTTATTGCTTTTCAATGAAACACTACAGAGAAGAGTTGATTACCTGATTAATTTCTTCTACTTATGTTGGATTAATCAAGTCTATCGATCAGTAAAGATTCTTTCCAAATCCTAAAATCATCCAGTGCAATTTAATTTAGATAACTCATTGTCAAATACTTGAAAGAGAAGCGGAGAGTTATGTTTCACTTATTCTTACCAGTAACGCATATGAAGCACAGACACTATGAAATCCATAATAGAAAGCTGCAAATTGTTTGTAGATCGATCTATTGAGAAGAAAATCAACATAGAGCTGCACATATTCTAAAAAAAAAAAATTATTTTGTTACATTATAATAATTTTAATCAATAATTTGTTCTGCCCTCTAAAATTCTGCCCTCTAGAATATGAAAAATGAAGCATTTAGTTTTAGATACCATTAAATTGGTAGGTACACCAGAAAGAACTACAGCCATTTCATGTTCACACTCTATTTAGGAAAGCATAGGTTTATAGAAAGGAGAAAAAGGACAAACTTAAATCTGCAAAGTATGTGTGGTTGATATAGGTAGAATTACCTTTCCTATTTCGATTTGTGACTGGAATTTTATCTCCATTTGGCTTTAAGTTGTAAGATTTTATAACACCGAATTCTTCCTGAAAAACCTACAGAAAAAGAGGAGTCAAGGTCAGCACTGGAAAATAAATTAATATACTTACAAATGCCAAAGCTTATATTATGTCTCCTCTCTTCAGCACATGCTGTAATTCTGAGGGTTGTGAGGTTTTTACAAGTTAAATATTACAGTGTTCAACAAATTGCTCAGAAGATTAGTATTCAAAGAACAAAAACTGACCCTGTTACATAGTGGCATGTCAAACTGACCTGCAGGCTCTGAAGCCATAGAGCTTTTCATACAAAAGAACAGCACAGGAGCAGTAAACACAATTAAGAAGGTATTTGCTCTGCTGTAGTTCACCTAGGAACTAAGTACCACCAATATGAAATTTCATTAACTCGTATGTGTGCTCTGAAACAATGAGTAACTGAAAAAGTCCTTCCTGACTGAAATAGCAGTTACAACACATATGTCAGGCAAAACTGTAAGAACTTGAACAGGCTATTGCTAAAGTGAGATTTTTGGACAAAATGCATAAAATAACCAAGTAAACTTTGACTACCTTCTGGGCTAGACAGAAAAGCAAAGAGCTGGAAATGCACCAGTAGCTGGCCAAGTGACCCTGGTGGTGAGCACTGGGATCCATCTACACTGTCAGGGAACAACAGCTTGGAGTGTCACCACGGAACCAAGCGTGGAAGACTCAGCAGTGCCGGGCAGCGCGGCTCCTGGAGCCAGCTCTGATCCCGTGCAGTTATGTTCCAAACAATCAGCAGTCACACTGCAATAAGCCACTCCACTTCCATTCCAACACTGGGAAAAATCACCAAACAAGGTTGAGAATCACTTATAGTAGTGCATTTAATGACCTGAAAGGTTGAGTAAAAATCCTCTTCAACATTGCCTTCATAGGATAGAAGTTCACTTAGTCCATGTGCCAATTCCTACAATATGAGTAAAAAACTCTTTAGTAAATCTACAAAACTAAGTGATGCAATTTGCAAAGATATGCCAGAAGCATTATTTTATACAGAAAGTATCTTGGAAAAAGCTGTATTTTTAAAATGCATGCTATGCTAGAAAAGAGAGATCTTCTGTTTCCATCAAAAGAAGATGTTATCAGCCTGCGCTGGAAAACAGCTGTTTTCAAACAGTTCATAACTCAAGCATTAAATACGAATAAATCAGGTTTTATATCAGTAATTTTGCCTTTTAGAAGATGTAATACTTACAGGCATAATCTGAAACAGGTCATCTAATGTGACACCACAGATGCCTACAAGTGTGTTATGATCACAGGGAACAATGGGAGGACTCAATAATTTCTTGTAACAGCAAGGCGGGAAACGAATATCCAAGGTGATACTGTTATATACAGCAAGTCCCATAAGCTATATATGTTAAAAGTTAAGGGCAAATCTGACATCTTTATTATAGGTAGTATTTTTGTAGCTTGGAAAAAATATTTTAAGATTCATGCTCAACAAACAGAAGGAATGTAAATGATTTCATTTTTTCTGGACTGAATTTTAAATGCAGTTTTTCATTACAATTAAGCAGTGGTTAGCATGGTCAAATAGTGCACATTGACAGAATGCTTGAGAATCTTCTTCATAATATTCTATACAAGCATTTCTACAATAAATTTTTCCAAAGTATTGTTATGAAAAAAAGAAAAATAAATATGTATTTTCTAGTGAGAGATCAATAAAGCAATGTTTCTTTTAAATAAATCTAAACGCATTAAGACATACCTGCACTGGTACTACAGCTCATCCATTAGCACATTTAAGTGCATCCCATGAAACAAATTTGAAACTATCCCAATTCAGCTTCTCAAAAGAATAGAATAGATCTGTTAGAAAATACCTACAACCACCATCTATCCAATTGCAATCCGTTAATGGACACAATTACATCATCTCAGTGGAGTTATAAGCATATACTATCATAAATTGTTTGTCTGACGTCTTCATTTATAAGCACAACAGAAAACCTAGAAAATAAACTAGTGCTCAAAATAGCATGTGGCTTCCATTTTGTAATAAAAAAGGCAAAAAGCCACATACTGTTCAATGGGGACTTGAATGAACTATTAATGGACACAGGTACATTGAAAGAAACTGAAAGAAACTCCAAGGCTTAAAATTACAACTTATACACACAGAAGTTGCATGTTTAATACCGACTTAGCATTTTCTAACTGTAAAACGTACCACGTACCCACACACCACCATTTTCTTCCTATTTTTAGTTCACTTGCTTTAACAATATTAAAAAAAAATAAAATTAAAATGGAACATAGGCGTATACACAACCTTTAAAGGAGCTTGAGCCAGTGCCTTATTTCATCCCCACACCAGCTCATTAAATGGCTGCTGTTCATAAAAGGATACGGCTCCAACCAGTCGGAATTCTGAGTAGTTGTCACATTTAAAGCTGCTGAACCAATGGCACTGCGAGTCCTTGTGGTAGGTGAACATGCCTGCAGAATGGCAACATGGCCCTTAAGAAGGCACTGAGCTTTGTAAGAATTCGTACAAAGCCTCCTCTTTCTCACCCATGCACCCTTGGAATGCTCCTGGGGTGCCCACATCCCCATGCTTGTTCTCAGGATCCCGTTCCCACCCAGGGCAGGAGCCTGCAGGGAGGGGCTTGGGAAGGAGCACCAAGGGCAGTGCCAAGCCTGAAGCAGGCTCAAGCCCACCTGCCCAGCTTGGTGCTGGTGCAACACATTTTTCAGGGCCTCCAGTTGTGGACATTTTGCATTTTCCCTATGCAATCTGTTTCCTCATTGCACTCCAGCATCAGTACTGCCATAAATATTAACTGTCTAACCAAAAATTTTCTTACTGCAATGTAAACTCACTTCCTCCTCTCTTTCTAGGTCAATAGCAGATGACAATCCCTAAAAATTCTGGCATGAATCCCATGATACAAATACCATAAGTTTACCTTCTTAGAATAGAAAACTGCAAACGGTTTATGTTATACACACACTACCAGCAAACTGATATGTTTCATATTTTGTCAAAAAATTATACCAGAAAAGTTAAAAAAGCCCCAAACCACATGTACCCTAAAAAAGCCACTCATGGGTCTAAATGACAAGCTAGATCTTACTGAAATCATGAGTATAGATGAGTTTGACTGCTATTTGCGTCAGATACAGAACATTCTGTTTTAAAGAGTGCCAGAAAGTAAAAACCTACAAAATAAAAGCAGATAACAGCTCTAAAATGCCTAGGAAGTATTGCTCAGAGAAGTAAGACACACTCCACACTCCTGCTTCTTCTAATGCAGAAGTAAACTGGGTAAAATGTGATGGCCTTTTTGAATCTGTTGGGATTGAATGGGCCAAGTTTATTATTGTTGCCATGGTCTGTACAAACCAAAGCACTGACTAGTTCTAAGCACATCTTGTATGCAATAGCTCACTGCATCTCTGTTTGAAGATAAAGTTGGTGAAAAATAATATTTAAATGAAAACAAAAACCAAAGTCCTTTTGATTTAAAAAAGAAAAAGGAATGAAAACCCAACTTTTCTGAGGGACATCTAGCTCTTATGATAAATTACAGTCAAAAAGCTGCCTTCACATTTTCCCCCCACGCTCCCGAACAATTTATCTTTCGAACTCCAGCTCAAAAAGTGCTCATCACAAAAGGTTTAGACACTGCCATTAGACATTGCCAGAAGCAACAGAACAGCTGCATGTAAGGCAGAGCAACGTTCACATGCTAAAAGGCCATAGGATGTTGGAACAAAATAGGTTGCAAATCCCATTTATTAATTGTCCACACCAAGATAAAGAAAGCATTGCAAAACACACAGGCAGGCAGATAGCTGACTTAGTTTAAACTCCAGGAGTTAAACCTGAAGAATCAGTTAACCTGGAAAGGGTAATAACAGTGATATTTTCCCTTCCAAGCTTCTCACATGTTATTTGCATCTTAAACATTAAAGACAGTAGAGGATACAGTCCCTTTCCAAGGGACAAGAGTATTTCTGAACTCCTCCCACACTTGGCTGATAGTCGTAACAATGAAAGAATTTGCACTTTAAAGTAAGGAAGCCTGCCAGAGATAGTGAAAAAATAAATTACTCTGAATGTTTCCAAACTCATCAGTTACCAAGCTCTGCTGACAGCTTTTTTACTAACTGAACTGTCAAACTTACAGAATGCTTTCTGCAGGATAAATTGTTTCCTATTAAGGTGGCTATCACCAATGTCATGTCTTCACATGGACCCCTTTTTACTGGAAAAAGGGCTACAGACAAGTAATCTCAGTAGATATGACGGCATATTTATGACTTAGAATTCTGTACCTTTAGAAGTAGTCCTAATAAACAATAAAGGACCATGATTTTAAGGGACATGAACACTTCCAGGCAAGCTCAAGACTATCAGGTGATATGCTCAAGTCCCTGCAAATCAATTTAAAAGCCATCCTGGCAACATTTTAATGCACTAAGTCATCAGTAATGTATCCATGCACAGAGGAAAGCTCATTAGAGTGGTGAATACAGATTCATCACCCAGATTCATCTACATCACTATAAAACAAGTGGACAGAACTGCTTGTTTACGACTGCACATTCATGTCTTACAATCTCCTGTTTAATCAAAAAGCCTTATTTTTTTCCCCTTGGGCATGAAATGCCCTTAAAGACTCACTAGTCCTGGTAACAGCAGAGGCAGGCTTTTTCATTCAGGCTCACACCCACCTATACTGTCTCTGCTACTTCCTTTCTTTTCTGAGATTACCCCAGACCCCTTTAAGAATACTGACTGCACAGATACCACAAACAGAATGTATGATGACAAAGATTCAAGTAAAAACTAACCTCTACCTTTCCTAGTCACAGAAATAGTACTAGAATGTGCAGGCACTCACTCTCAGTGCAACTATCAGCACCAAAAAACTCCCCATTGATACACGGGAGACCAAAGTTGGCAGTTTGCCAGAACGGAGCATAGTAACCCAACTGCAGCTACTGACAAAACCCAAAAAACCTCCCTCCCTAAACTAGCAATATGAAGACAACTGACAGCAGAAAGACAAAATGCAGCATATGAAGAAATAAGGAAAGATGGTAAATGATAACGCCAAATGTATTGGTTTATCTCTACTTGAATATTTGTTAAATCATTCTGCTGTTTTAGGCTGAGAACATTTCCTTCATGGCTAATAGCTAAGTTATTAGAAAGGATATGTTTTGGATTTGTGCTGAAAACAGTGTTTATAATACAAAGACTTCACTATTATTGCTGAGTGCTTATACAGAGTCTGAACAAATTCTCACAATCTACTTAACAATTATGAGGACTCACCATAATCTGGGTGAAAAATCTGCCGAATCAGAAGAAGAAACCATTCTTTTGTCAGGCCGCCCATATCAAGACCAGCTTCTCCTACAAATGTGACTTTTAACTTCTTTTTCAGATCTGCCTTCTTCCTTGCTAGCTATTATGAAATAGGTGAGGCAGAAGAAAAAGGAGATTTAACGTATTATCACTACCACTAGCAATAGAGAACACACCTCAGCCTCTACTCTACTGCTCTCACTTCACTTAAGCCATTAATTCACATAATTTTCTACTAATAGGTCAAACCTATATTAAAACAATAATTGAATTGCAGAAGCAAGACAATTATGGCCACTTGACATCATCAACTACTTTACACAGGGTGTCACTCTCTGGACTTGAAGTTAGGTGGTGTACAAACAGGCTTAATAAGCAATTAGATATAATGAACTGAGTTTGTCTGGAGTATTTCAGACCTACATAATTTTTTACCTTTTCTGCAAATGACAAATTAAAAAAGTACTTAGACGTAATTTGGAAATATTTAGAAACAGGGATGTAAGCTAACACTTTCAATATTTGGATACTATTCGGTTCTGTGTAAGATACCTGCCAGCAAGTATCAGCTGCTTTTTAGAACTGTTCTTTAGACAGTGATAACAAGCTCTTTTCATTGCTTTGTCCTAAGAGACACTACTTCATGCAGGTACACAAAAAATCTGCAAAGAAGTAGATTACAGTCCTTTACAATAACAGTGATCTTTCAGACTGAGTCTCTGTACAAGCTTCCTTTAAACCATTAATTACTGTCCAGCTTCAGAGAAAGTGTTTAAACCAGCCAAGGATATGCATGAGCTAAAATAATCTTCATGTTGTTAGTTGCTCAAGTAAATTCCTATTACATAAATTTTATAACTATAGGTATTGGTGTTCTTTGAAACAAGCTATTTATTAGTGGAAGTGATTTCCTTTGCAAATTTTTAAAACTTGAAATACAAGTAAGACATCTTCCCTCTCCACCTGCTGATCCCCATAAATTTGAAAATATGAATATAATACGTTTGTACTCATCTCTGAGATGGGTAGAAGAAAACATTGGAAATAAATAGGAGAATATTTTGAATACAAAAACTTTTAAATTTGCTCTTGGTAATTTTGGTGTGGTTAAAAAATTTACAATGCCTGAGAGAAACCAATATTACCAACTACATTTCTTTTGTCTTAGGAGAAAAGGCCAAAAATAGACAGGCTTCAATATAGGAAAATAAAATTTAAACTTACATTTTATAATATGAGTAATTAGAGTTTGTTTCATGCTGTTTTCACTACTTGGACTTATTTTTCTGTATCATCAGGCTGTTCTCAATGTTGAGAAAGAGAGGGAACTGTATTTCACTAAATAATGTTAACTAGCAAGGCTCAGTGGTTACTGAAGAATTGCCTACTTTAATGGACACATCTGTTTCATTTCTAAAAAAAGAAAAATTACATTGAAGAATCTGAAGAATTAGTTTAAAAAATGTAGGAATATAAAGCCAAAAATTATTCTTATAGGATTAAAGAAGGAAAATAATAAAAATATTCAAAGAATTAGAACAGAACAACCTCATTAGTGATTAGTCACATATTATTCATGCTGTTATAACGGCATCAAGTCCTACAGAAATTGATAATTGTCCACTGTATTCTTAACAGAAAAATTACAAATACAAACACAGACCACGTACAAGCATGTATGTTTGTTATGGGTTTAGCTACAGAGCAGTATGAGCACAGGAAATGAATTTCAAAATGTCTAACCCAATCTGTTCTGCAGTACTACAATTTTGACAGTAATTAAATTATCTTTATTTAGTATTATGTAGTTATATTCCCAATCTCTTAGTGCAAAAGACTTGAATATGACTTATCAAATTGAAATCTAAGAATAGCTACTCTACAGCAACACACAATTTAATTTTATGTTTTTGTTACCTCATCAAGTGAATCACTAACAAGGTGTGTCCTCCTCACTTTCACATTTAGGAATAACATATTCATGTCAGGCTTCTGTCTGCGAGAGACTTTATCCACAAGGCTTTGCTATTTGAATGAAAAAGAAATATCACACATGCAGCATCTTCATTTGCAAAAAAGGTGTCACACTTGTTAACAGTAAAAAGGTCTCAGTATCCTGTATTGAAGACATTTCCCTGACACTGTAACTGGTTCAGTCTTTTCCAGGAGATGGAGAAAAACTTCTTTCCTACTGTAGATACCTTCTACACTACATTTGAACTAACGTCTTGGGAGGTTTAACAGGAAGGTGGCACTTCCCAAATTGTTAAAAATATACCCATAAGATTCTGGAAACTGACTTAAGCTTTAATTAGTTATTCACAAGGAATCACCTGTACAAGACTGCTACTGAGGGAGGCAGACAATGCCTTTTCCAAGCACAAAAGGCTGCTCAGAAGCAGTACCGCTTCCATGACCTGAAAGGATACAGCTGAATCTTGGTATTCCATGACAACGCACCTCCACAGAATAACATACAAAACAGTTCAAAATTCTCATGGAATTTTTCTTCCTTAATCATTGTGTTAATTTAACATGCTAGCATGTTATGCTGGTTTCTCAAAAGAGGAAAAAAAGTAAATCAATACTATAAGTTACTCTCTTAAACACTGCCCTCTATAAGGATCCTGAAACTAAGTACACAAAAAGAAAAAAATATCCAGAGAACCCAGCATGGACTGGGTTCTAGACTATTCATAGTAAAATGGATTAAGTTCTTTTTCAGGGTAGTCAGAAATACTAGAAGGTGAAATGACAGGTCACGTGTAGTATCATTCTAACAAATACTCATAAAGTACCAACATATGAGACATAAATATTTATCATTGAGGGACTTACCCGTGCAATACTTATCATTTGTTGTTCTGAGTCCCTTTGAATAATAACTTTTTTTGCTGCTATAGAAATAATAAATGGGTATTGACAGAAAGAAAACCTAACAAGAGAAAAGAAGATTAAATATTTTCTTTCTAGCATACTATTTTCATTTTAAGAATATAGGAGTGAATTACCATTCAGTAAGTAATTCCTCCACTGACAATAATTTGCAAATAGCTGCAGTTTTTTTCACTTTGTATATAGTGATACTTGACTCACTAGAACAAACTGTTATTTGCAAATACTGCTAGAAACTGAAATTAGTAATACTTATCTCTTCTCATTTGGTTTTTTTTGTGGTTTGTTTTGTTCAGTTGCTTTTTTTCCTTCTCAAGTAGAATATCAGGTATCAGGCAGAAGAGTAGCCTGAAATACCTGATTCAGTGGAGCAAATTACAGTCTCCAAGTTCTCCCCAACTGCTGCTGAAGGCAAGGAAAATCCCTAGGAATGTACTGGAGGCTAAAATATGTCTGTAGTAAGACACAGTCAGAAGTCTATGCTAATAATTAATAAACTTACTTTATTATCATCCATATTTTACATGCTTTTTCTAGTTTGCAGAGGCAGAATGAGATTTATTTCAGACAATCTCACATCCATGCAAGTAGGTAGTAGTGACAATATGTTTTTACAATACAATAATACAGTATTTAATGTGGATCTATACAGACATAAATGCTGTGCATACCATATACAGACACTATATATCCACTATGTTTCATATAGATATACCAAGCACAGATACAATGCTTTGAAGAACTACTCAACAAGAAACAACCAGTAATTCCTCTCACCTGTGAGAATTCCCATAGCATTGCCAGTTGTGATATTCTTCCATAAGATCAATATGATCAAGTGTAGAATTATAGAAATCCGTATATGAAATAATAGGAGGGCTAATCAGACTATTTGCAGCATCTACAAAGAAAACACAAAAGTCTTTTAATATAATGGACATCTCATTTCTTGGCATCATGAGCACCAGTGACCACAAAAACTTTAAGCCAAGTCTAAAATTATGCAAAAAATTAATAACTTAGTTACAGAACTTAGCTACAGAACTATAGCTACAACATGACACTATAAAACATCATATTAATTGCTGCAGAAAACAGTAAATCCCTTGTTCAGCCCACTTATGATAAGGGAACCTCAGTTTGACTCTGGTTTCCTTACTGGCATACATGGAATTAAGGTTTTATGGATAAAGTGTGCTATGTTCTGCTGAAATTTATGAAAAAGCAGTTTGATAAATGAAAGTGGTTAAGAAATCCATACAATTTCAAGCAGCTATGGCTAGAAAATCTACATTTTTTCCAGTATACCATCTAGACCTGCACAAAAACTAAGTACTTTACCAAAGGAAGAAAGCCAATTCACATGTAAGCTATCTCATTATGTAATGGCATTCATAAAATGTCAAACAGTAAGTTTTCTCCATTTACACTTCAGCATAATTTAATTTTGGTCAGTCAGACACAAAGTAGTGTTTTTTGATTGACTAAATAACTCTTTTTCCAGAATTAAGGAACAAGCAATTCTTTCATATCTATGAAAGAGTTAAACACTATAAACACATATTGGGTTTAGATGCAGGTGTGCTAATGTGCCTAACTCTGGGCAGGCAGGAGTGTGCAAAATACTTTTAAGTAGAAGTCTTAAGTTGACAGTGAAAACATCTTAATACCAATTTTAATTTTCATTTGGTGGTTTTGTCTTCTCCTAAAACAGAGAAAGTAAATGCTCTAGTAACCACTTGGCAGCAGGTTTACATTTGCAGCAGTCAAATTTGCTGTGCTCTATGTTGAACTGAGCACGGATTTACTTTTTTTAAGCTGTAGTTTTGGACATAAGAGGCACGTGCATTGCCTAACTTCCTTTAGATGCTAAATAGTTCTGTGGGGGTAGGTGAGTTACAGAAGAAATTCTGGAAGCTACTAGTTTAAGACAGTTTCTTTTATAAATCTAAAGGACACCTTAACCATTGGTTACTTCTGTGGATTTCTGTTTGATCAATCTTCAGTTGTTGTCACAGGAAAATTCTGTATAGCAATTATCCTCTACTGGAAAGCAAGTAGGAAGACTTATCAACAGAAAACTCTTGCTTACTACATTTGAGCATTTTATTGTAGTTTGCGCCGTGTCACCATTGTTATCAGTTTTCCCTGAAGAGGAGCAGTAAAAAGTATCCTCTCCCAACATGTGTGTGTGTATATAAAACAAACCCTATAAACACACGCAAATATATATATAGAAACATATACATGCCCACACAGTTCAAGAAAAATACCTACTAAATAAAGCCAGGACTTTTGTTGCTGATGGAATCCACCAGGTACATTTCACCATAGGTGGAAACTCCTCAGGTTTTGCAGGAAACAGCCGTAAAGAAATAAATTGCAGCAACCTGTCCACCACCTGCTTGAACCTCTTCTGTGAAATCCTAAAACAAACATGCTGCACTTACTCTCATGTGACCACTGTCTACACTAGAGTTTGTTATCAATTTCAATACTTTTAAGAAAACTCCTTAATTAAAAATTTTTAGTTGTTTAATTTAAAAAAATGCTTTTGTCCTGTACATAAAAACAAAATTGCAAATGTAAATTTTGAAGAAGCATGCTTTTAATTATTGACAAATGGCAATTCTCTTCAGTGCACCCCTAACTATGCTCTTTAAGTCTGTTGAAAAATAAAAAAAAGAGCAATAGAATCATTATCTGTTCTTGACTTTTAGTGAACAAAACAAAAATCCTTATCAATTTCACTCCACACTCTGAATACTGAGGAATTCTGATTTATTTTGAGATACATGGTCCTTTTAAATAAAAAGTGGTATATGCTTCATATGCCTGTGCCACGTGCACATTTTAAATTACATGCTGCACCACTTCCACAATAGGACAACAATAATAATAGATGCATACATATGCTAAAATAGCCTTTTGTAAACAAGAGTTCTCCTATTTTAATGGTTTCCATTTCTAACACATGCTTTAAGACCAAAAACATTGATATGTCTATTGCATCCTTAACTAAAAGTGGAAACCTCATTTGTAAATGCAGCTCCAATGAAGTAATTACCACAATTTTAAGCAAATCTGGACATAGGGAGGGAAAGGGAATCTGAATTACCATCCTTGCAGAGAAGAAAATCCTTAATTAAGATTTCCTAGGAAAATTGGAAATTGCAAATATGGCCAAACTTTGTTTTTACCTCAAACAGAACTTTTTGCTCAGTCAGTACATGGAAGGCAATCTGCGTACAAACTTAGGGGCTACTCTTTGGGCAGTTACCCCCATATGACTTTTTTAGTGAGGTGCTATTAGAGTTCTTTCAATTAATTACAAATCTAATGCCCTAACCACACTCTCTCACCACCTGTACTGCACCAGGAAGCCAGGCCTCTAGCTCCATTGTGGTTTCTGTACATTACAGTAACATTATGATATCTTTTGCAATTTACATGAGATTAAACTTTATTTAAACAAAGATCATAAAGATGTTTGTTTTAATAATACCATGTAAACATATAACTAAAAATTTACACACAAGTTATTTTGCATATGTTATCAAAAAATAACTCTGATAAGTAATTTTGCGATTAAGGCTTTTTTCTAGAAATATAATTTTTACATTATGTACATTTTGCATCTATAAATCAGTATCACTTAGTGGACTATGTCCACATGTATTTGAAAGCAAGAAAACCAATCTCTTCAGTCAATTAAATTAACTTTCATATAATTTATAAAACAGTCAACATCAATGGAAATACAGTAACAATTGTAATCCTAGAAATGGAATTTGTAATGTGGGATTTTGTTGGGTTTTTTTTTTACTTTTTAGACCAGTGCACTAGGAAATGATGGTCAGCTTCTGTTAAGGCTGCTATCTGTCTTAGCAAGTGAGCATAGATGACATAAGTAGAAGTGTTACTAAATTGAGGATTCTGAAAAAGATTAAAAAAAGTGTTAGGTTAATAAACTGCATAAAGGGAAAAAAGTCATTAGGATTTTTTCTTATGTTTGTTGTTGCCAGTACAATTACACAAGAAAGTTCACCAAACAGCTGTGACAGTGGTAAAACTATGTGAAAAAACAACTCACAACTTCTAGCCAAATAAAAAATACACAACTTCTCTATTGTAAAAGTATGACTTTTTCCCCAAAAAGAAAGCCCACAAGTAGCCCAAAGGCAGTACTCAAAATTCTGGATTATTCTTTACATTGTAACACAAATTACACTCCTCTAAGTGATGTGGTTTTCATATCAGTAATACAAATTTTTGTAGCTCTTGTCTATCCCACATCAATCCAAAGTAATTTTCCCTCTATTCCATGTGATCACATATTCCCTCATTTTAGCAGGAGACATTCTTTTTAATTCACAGCTAGTATATACCACCCCAGAGAAGAACACTATTGTCTCAATAAATTAAACTGCCATTTGATATTCTCAAATAACAGCAGAAACTGCTCCTTGTGTGCAGAGGTGTTAGGTACACTAGCAAAACATAAAGCAAGCCAACTATAGCAGCAAAGGTAAGAGGTGACCACAGACAGAAATCAGACATTGTAACCAGTCAGATAGGCTGGAGAAAGTCAGCCAGACAGACTGGATAAAATGCAATATGGAGAAAGTCACAGCAATATCAGAAAGTGCATACACTGAAACTTTTAGAGTTACAGCATCCTAATACAGCAAATCTGGGAATAAGGACAACATAAGAACAGATAAATAGGTAAAATATTTATCCTTTCAACCCAGAAAAAAAAAGCAAACAATTACTTGTCTGTTAGTGCATAGTTTTAGTCTATACAACCTTTCCCCATCAACTGTCTCCTATTAAGCTCCCATTCCCACCATGCATTACACTTTTTCAATTTTTCAACACATTCTTACAACAGGAAATTGAATGGGAAGTATCTCAGCTATACAAACTATCTTGTTTGTACAGTATACTGGTTTATAGATTGTAAGTTAGGTACACACATACTTACATAAAAATACGGTATTTTTCTTACCTGTAAAAGTATACAATAAGCTCTAAGATCATCCTTTGTTCGTGGCCTATGAACGAATGAAATTATAAACAGAACCATATGGATCCATAATTTACAGGCATTAAGAGTCATGAAATCATGGATGATTTTATTTTGCTTTGCTGATATGTATAGAATACCATATTAAAGAATCTTTACTGCTCTCAAAAACTGAAAAGGTCATTTACAGCTTCTGACAATTCTCTAAAGGTAGCAGACCTTTTATTATCTGTCTTTTTAAAACATGACAGAAGGCAAAAAAAAGGTCAGAATTGAAGAGTCAGAGGTGTTCCAAAGAGGGAATTCCACATTATTGTCTATCTCAAGTGACACCATAGGAGTTTATTTGCTCCTCTTTCATATTTCCTGCAAGAATTCTCCATACACTTCTACCACTGCAGCCTCTGTACCTCTTCATTCTTATCAAGGCTTTTACACAACCACAAATACACACAGCAACAGCACAAAAAGCAGTGTAAGCTGGAGAAAGGAACAGCCAAGACCAGGTCACATGAGTTACAACATGTCTCTTGCTATACCTTTTTATAAATTACACTATGCATTCGCACTTCTCTTACTTCATGCCAAGATGACGTCATCACCAAAAACCTTTCTGCTCTTGGGCTATCCCCTTCTGCATCTTGTACTACTCTTTCTGTGGTGCTGCCTCACACAAACAGTATTGTGAAGCAAACTGTGGATCAGGGAATTGTCCTAGTTGCTTTTGGGGGGTGGACCATGAGAATAACTTTTAACCTAGTTAAATTCTTAAATTCATCTCACAATTAGGAAGTCCAAAAAAACACCCTGGCAACAAGCAGCTGAGAATTGGTGACAGAATGCATGGATGGGTATGGATCTGTCTCTCAGAGGTTCAAGGCCAGCTTACAGAGTTCAAGATGTATTTCAGAAGATTTGCCAAAAAGAATTAAGTTCTTATGTATCAAATAAGTTGCATCACATTTTCTTTCTTTGTCTAAAACAATAAAAGTAAAACATATAGCAGATTTAAGTGCTGGCACAGCACTGATGCAAACATTTATTATAATTACCCTGTCCATTCTTGCAGTAAACCATTAATTATTCCTTTTAGGACTGACTTCTGAACATCTTGAGGCTATGAAGAAAGGAGAGAAAAAATAATATCTGAAGTAATTACACAAATTCAATACAAGGTATTGTACAAACAAGCAAGTTTGCTTTGCTGGCATTTCAAGACAGCTAAGAAATCTTTTGTGTTATGATGCTGAGCTCCTAAATATCTTTCTCACAGATGTACTAGGTGAGTGTGGGGTTGTACCAATGGTGCCTTTCAACACTTATACCCTGTAAATATAATTTCTAAACTACTCCTGTCCTTTCTATACTAGGCACAGGACCTACATTTTACTATTCCCATCCTCACATTTTCTTTATTTCTCACCATGCAATATCTCTAAGATATGCAGTCTTTAAGAACTACCACAATATAAACTATGCTTTACTAGAAGGAAAAATTTCCTCCTCTTTTACTAGAGCAGCTGTCAGGATTCTATGACAATTCTCATGGGATCATCTGAAGTATGTTTTGAGAGTTTCCTCAGAAATCATGCCTATCTGGGAAAAATTCTTGGTATAAATGGTATAAAACATGAATTCTTTTTCTCTACTTACAGTATTTAATAAGGCATCATAGACAACATTCACAAATTTTGCATCGATTCCAGAGTCCTCAATGGTATTAAATGGAGAATTGGTATCTTTCTGTAAGTCAGATAATACATGAAATATTTTGAATATTCTATAGCTATCTTTGAAAATGTAAGTTTAACAGCAAGCTTAGGAAAACATGTTCAGATATAAGTATTTCCTTTATCAAAATGCAAGAATATGTTTCCTTAATTAGTATGCTAAAGACAGAGCAAAACAATAGTAATCCTGGACATATTCATGTTGTTATTCTATTTTCAAAATGTGAGACTGTTTCAAATAATGAATTACATTGAACTTGCATCTTTGTTGTTGCTCCATTATCAGACAAAGGCAAGAAAATTTTAAGCATTCAATATTTATTAATTAACTAAAGGTCACAGGTTATTTTGTCCAGGCTCAGGTCCTACCATCCATATTAAATATCATAAGCACATTTATATGTGCTTATGATATTTAATATGCAGGAAATAATAACTTAGCAGGAATTCAGAAACAAAACTATAACAATTCCCTAGGAAAACCAAGTATGCTATCATAACACATGAACAGCTATGATAGAGCCCATACCACACTTTTTTTCAGGGATAGGGGATTTCTGTTTCCAGATTTGCCTGGGCCTCTGCATTAGCATGGACGTTTTAAAACCATAATTTGTGTAAAAAGTACCTACACAGTCACAGTGTCACAAACTATATACTGGGATTTTAAAGCTTCACAAACTTGAAATAAAATTGCTTAACTGGAATCAATAAATCAATGCAATAACAGATTTTCTACAAAAAGCAGGTAAGATCATGACAAATAGATCTGAGTGGCCTTGAATATCCATCTGAAAGCCTTTAACATATATTTTTGGAAACATTTTGAAAATACAAAGCACTGTAATTACTAAATAGTATTAGGAATTATTTTCTACCTTAAATGCAGCATTTATCTCCAAGAAAGAATCAAAAGTTGTAGAATAAAAATTATGTACAGCTTTCCAATCTCCCGATGCCTTCGATTTTTCCATATCATCCCTAGAGAAAATATATTCAAATACTGGTAATGGTTTGATCTTGCCAGCCACTTAGACTTTAAAAAGCACTGTAACTTTAAGCTTTTCTCACTAAGCACACTTAGAAGACAGACAAGTATAATATCTGTATCTTTCTAACCTCTTCCTTGTCATTTAAAGATCATGGTATTATAAGAGAACAAAAGCATAGTTTGTGTTTGATACACCTGAGCAACATCTTTTATTCAAAATGTTAATTCACAATGTCACAGTTCAGCGTGTTAGGACAAATAATTAGCAGAACAGAATTAAGCTGCAGCTACACTGACATGGTAAAGTTTCTCAGAGTAAGTATGAGGGCTCCTAAACTACTCATTCACTACAAGGTCTTCAAAATTTTCTTTTCAAATAGAACTTATCTTAGGCACAGGTGGTCAGTCTTAGGTGGTTAATCTTAGACAAGGTGGTCACTTGGTGACAGTCAATGTGGCTTCACTAAGGGCAAATTGTGCCTGACAAATCTGGTGGTCTTCTACAGTAGGGTTACAGTGCTGGTGGATGATGGAAGGATGGTATCATCTACCTGGACTTGGGCAAGGCCTTCCTCTGGAAGCTGCTTCCTCTCGCTTTGCTGCAGGCTGTGCAAGAAATCCTCAGCATGGGGAAAACCAAACCCAGCTCAGCACAGGGAGCAGCTGCCAGATCCAACTGAGGACCTAGCCCTGCCTGGAGGATGGCAACCATGGGAGAGGGGAAATGGAGAGCTGGTGGGGGCTCACAGCTGGGGATTCAAATGGACAGGACAAGGGCTAATGGCTTTAACCTGCAAGAAGGTTGATTTAGATCACATGTAAGGATACAAACACTGCCACAGGTGTTTGTGAAGTAATAGAGGCAATAGTCAATAGATAAAAAAAATCTGAATACGGAAAAAAATTCAGCTCTTTGGATCACTTGAATACCAGAAAAGGATCACCTCTTTGCAAATTTTCCTTTATATCTCCTTTTCTTTCCCACTAAATACACACCAAATAATCAGAAAGCGTTCCTTTTCCTCCCCAGAAGCACAAAATTTCAAACATGGAAGAGAGAAATAATTGCCAGTATAACCAAAACACCTAAGACTACATGGGATTTGCCAGCCTACAATAAGCCATACATATTCTTTTCCAAAACTAAATGTTCACTGCATTTCTAATTCTGAAGTATATGTTTTGTCATTTTCTGTGTGGTACAACATTTCAACCTAGAAAAAATATTTTGATAGTTTTCACAGTAACAGAGTTATCAATCCCACCACCATAACCAGACTAACTCCTTGTCAGTCTTACTGAAACCGTTTCCTCATTTGAGATTAACAAAATCAAAGGTATGAATTAGGTCAAAATGAAAACAATTCCAAAGAAAGAAAGAAAGCACATTTCTAGGAACACCAGTATAACTTACTGAAAATCCTTCACAGTTTTGGTTCGAATTGGAAGGGAAGGTTCAGGAGGAATTGGTGCTTTTGGTTCCTGGGGTAACGCATCCATCGACACGCGCTGCTTTTGCCGTACATCGAGGCAAAGAGGTGGCAGGTCCCTCCCTTGAAAGAAGGGTAAAGAAGAGTAAATACAATGCACCTAACACAAATAAATCGGTACCAGAAAAAAAGGAAACTCCAAGTGTTTGATTCTAATTCTTTAGAAAGGTATTTTTCTTACCATATGCACATGCAGACATGATGGAAAAGTTGGCTAACTAATAGAAATACCAGTGTTCCTCTTTATTGTATTTCCAATACAGATTGTAAATTTTTAATATACAAACTGCAACACTGGTGCTCCTTACAACTAAGAAAAATCTCACGCACGACCATACCAAAGTCCAGCTATCATATAAGGACAAGACTTCAGTCCATTTTTCTACACTGTGATACAGAATTTTAGCTAGAGAGGACTGTGAAACATTTACAGCTTCCATAAAGAATCTCTCAAAAAAACTAAATGGGAAATACAATTTTTTTTTGTCTTACAGAGAATTAGTGGTGAAACAGAAGCATCTTTTAACACTTCTTTTTGATACATTTGGCTACCTATTCTAGTACAATTGGCAGTGCTTTGCCAAGGTCTTTCTATTCTATTCTACTCCTTCCTTTTTATTTGATCTAAGAATATTTGATCAGATTAGCATGGCAAGACTTGGCAACAGCTGCAATGAGAGGAGAGATGAGGCTGCCTCTGCGTCTGTCAGCTCCAAAACACACCCACCACAGGGCAAAGCTGAGCTCAGCAGTGACACTGGTAGCACCCCTGTGACAATATATTTAGGAAAGCATAAAAACTGCACAGCTCCAGAGAAAGAGAAGAGATTAACAAAAAAAAAAAAAAAGGACGAAACTACAGACACCCACATGAGTGGAAAAGAAAGAGAAGGAGGAGGTGAGCCAGGTCTGGAGCGGAGATTTCCCTTGCAGCTAGTGGAGAGCCCATGCCTGATCAGGCTGCTGGCAGAATTGGAGAGAAGAAAACAAGGGAATGTGTGGTAAGCAGGAAAGGGGAAGGTGTCTTGAGTTTTGTTTCTGTTTAATTGGCAATAAATTAATATCCTCAAGTCTGTTCTGCCTATGACGATAATTGGAAAGTGTACTCCCAGTCTTTATCTCAATACTTGAGCTTTTTCATCTTATTTTCTCCCATGTCCTGTTGAAGAGGGGAAGCCACAGAGCAGCTTGGTGGGTGTCTGGCAGTCAGCCAAGGTAAGCCCACCCAAAGCATGAAAAAATATTTCCACTACATTTCCAACACTCATTTTGACAGTGTCTTCACAAACATCCTCAAACACTCTTACAGTCTGATTTATGCTGCTCATTTTTTAAAGCATTTACATGAATTGTGACATATGTTTGGGATAAAAGACACTACATAAAAGTGTCCTCAAAAGTCATACATATTTAATGAAAATCTTCTATGAATTGTATAAGACCCCCTCTAAGCCTTTTTGAAGATCTGGGTTTTTTAATTAACTAAACCTCAAAGTAGTATCACTACACTGCTGCCTACTCCATTTATCACAGCAGGGAAACAAATGCTAAAAAAGTCCCATGAATCCAAAAGCAGATTTTTTTCTGTCATGCTCATGACAGAGTCATTGTCTGTGTGACTTAACTCAGCCACCATTCATGTGATAACAGATCAGAGCTGCCCTCAATCTCCTGAGGACGGCATCAATTACTGATATGGAACCTTGTCCATTCTCACAGATGGAACTGTAACTATTTCAAGGTAAGAGCAGCAATTGAAAAAAACAAAGCAGACATACAGATAATAAATTAATCCAAGCCAAGGTGTCAAACAACCCAACCATGCAAATGTTCTGCTATTGAACACCATTCTCTGAAAGCAGGATGGACTGATTTTAAAGAATCTAAGAATTTGTCTTATTTTTATACTCTGAGAATAACAAGCTTTTGATTTAACTCTCATTCTGTCTTCTCAATTTTAAAATGGATTAAACATTGAGTTATAACCAGCTGAACACACTGAAATGAGGAAAATACTCTTTCTACATCTGTAGAAGAGACATCTGCTGGCAGACACTGCTTCTCAATTCAGTAAATTGAGGCTGCAGGTGCTAGGCTGGTAACTTGCACCCTGTCAGCAATGCAATTTTCTTTGAAATATATGCAGTTTAATTTACATATACTAAAATTGATTTTTAATAGTATCTTTAACACATATGGCCAACTTCAGTATGTTTTGTCATCATTCAAGTTGATTTGTATATAGATTTATTTGCTCTTCTGCCAGCAAAGAATACTAATTAAGATCCACCACTTGAGTTTCATTGAGCAGAAATGGGAAACTTTATGTATTGAGTTTATAAACAGCAATAACACAATATTACAAGACAAGAAGAAATAGTAATTTCTGGCTTCTTGCCTAGTTATATCAAGTAAAAAGATTCAGCAGTGTGTGACTGCTTAAGGAATGATCAAAAACTTTGGTGCAGAAAATCTCCTAGATACAAAGCAGAAAATTTTTCAATATAACTAATAGGACTAATAAAAGATGATTTTAATAAGAATCTAATGCTGCAAGTTATAAACCACCTTTTTCTGCACAACTTTGAAACTGACAATACTTGTCAAGAGTTTTGTTTCTAAGTCACACTACGGAGATCTCTCAGTGCAGTCTCTTTCTTGCCTCAAATTCACTGAGTGCTATAAAGACTTAGTGAACCACAGCACAATAAGCCTGAGGGGGACTTGCTTACAGACAAGATCAATACAAACCTGACAAATGCTTGTACAGTCTTTTATGAAAAGTCCCAAATGACTGAATTCCTAGCCCAAAGCCTAATAAAAATTCCAGGTCCATCCACATCATCTCATCTAGGCTTCATTATTCTAGCCTACCATACTTAATACAGAGCTACACTTTCTATCTTTTCATCAAGTATTGGTACCTCACCATAGCACAACAACCTTCCTTCTCACTTATAAAGCTATTCAGAACTTAGTAATTGTTTCCTGTGCATTTTACTTTTTGCCATCACTGGCCTTCATCTTCACTGAAAAACACCATCTCTCAGCAACTGCCTCCCTTATAAAAGTCTTATGCTTGCCTCTTTCCCACCATCCTTCAGATGGCAATAAAATAATTACCTCCAAAGTTCTGACAATTTCTAGAGACACTGCCTGATTGCAGCTAGACAAAGAACATCTGCAGACAGACTGCCGAATCAGTACCTTTCTTTAAAATTTCAGATAGTTATTCCATCCTCCAGATCTATTTGTTTTTTCTTATCCAACTTGTCTCTATGACACAGGCTCTACTGAGGATGGGCTATCACATATCCCACTGGCTGTACAATGTACAACACAGCATAATTTAATGAAATCTAGATTTTCTGGCACTACCACAATACAAATACTGGCAGAAAATTGAGCACCTTCTAAACTTGGTAACTAAGTAACAGGTCTTTTTTTGCCTTACCATTTTTGCTGCTGGGTATAACAAGTTGCGTAGGTGAATTTCTGTTTCCGATGTCTTCTTTCTTTTGGTTGATAGTTGTGATGAAATTGCTGAAAGTGGAAAACTGATTTTTGGCTCCTTCCTCCAACCCCTGTAATTAAGATGACAGTATGGTCTAAAGGGCTAATACATTACTGCTGGAGTAATCTTCCTAGTGAGGTTACTACAAATAATTCTTAAATTCCTTTCAAATCAGACTGGTAATAACTGAATAAAACATAAATAACGATTCTGCAAGTTTCTTTCAAATTGATTCAGGAGAGGTACCATAAAATTCCTTTCAATTACATTAAAAAGCTCAAGTATTAATTTGCAGGATATGAAGATATCCTTGGATTTCTATGAGGAAAGCACGATACAATTAGGATGCTGTCAATAATATTCTAACTTTCTTCATCTTGATGTCTACTTTTATACTTCTCACTATATCCAACTCAGTTTAAACAGAAGAAAGTGTTCAATATTCCTTTTTCCAAATAGCCTTAATATATTCAAGTAGTTTAGACAAACTTCCCAAGTCTTGAAATGTGGGGCCAAAAATTCTAACCTCTAAATAAAGATCAATACTGACCACCTGGGTAAAACTCCCTAATGATTCAAAATAGTCAGGATCTGCTGCCACTGAAGAAAGGCTGACCAACAAAATTTGGCTAACAAAGTGGTAGAAGACTCCCTGCTTGAGCACCCGTACATGCTGTCACCAAGGAGCCAGCACAAGTCTCTGCTAGGAAGCGTTGAGCACTAATGTCTTTTAACAGCAAACAGAAGTGAAATCACACATTGGACTTTCAAAGGATTGTGCCAATTAGTCTGTTGGCTAATCAGCACTGGGTCCGATTAGATATAGTTATTTACTACCGAATTTGCAAAGCATAGGTGGGGTTAAGAGGCTTGTCCAAGATGACAGAAATCTCATGGTGAGTATTTTAATTTTCACCTCAATTCCAAGTCATCAATTGATATCAGGAGAAGGTAGATCAACTCAAAAAAACATACACACACTTCCTGCACATCACGATTCTCAACCTCACTGATATCTGGCATCTGTGCTCTCAGCTAGAAAAATGTTTCCACACAAACCAAAACTTTAATTCTGCAAATGAGAATATACATTTTCATGTAATATCCTATCAAAAATTTTGAACCAGTACATTTCCCTTTTCCCTTAACAGAAATACATTTAGACTAAGACAGGCAGTCAGAGTTCTAAGAAAAGCATTTCACTTCCACCACAACATCCTGAAAAAACACCAGAAGGGTAATAATACAGCCCATAAAACTACCACAACGCAGTGTACACAGGCTGGCCAGAAATTTTAAATAACTGTGGCACATACAGCTATTTTTCCATGGCTCATAACTCACTAAATTGTAAATCTGAGCAATCATCAAGACTTCTGACTTTAAAAATATCAAATTTCAATATCAAAATATCATATTTGGTATTTTTACCAAATTTCAATTTCTAGTTCCAATTCCTTGTATGCAACAAACATTCCAAAATAAAATGTAACTACCAGTGCCATTTCCAGATTAACACTTCTTTTTAGTCTATGACCTTTGAAATATCATTAAGATGACTCTTAAAAATCATCTGGTACATAACTGGAGTAAAACAGACCCTGGACAAACATTAGTGACTGAAAAAGAACTTTTAAACAATTCCAGATCTGAGGTTAATCTGTCAAAAAATGTGTGCTCCAGGCAGAAAATGTGTGTGCTCTGTCAAAAAATGTGTGCTCCAGGCAGAAAAGCTCTGAAGCACAGACTAGTCTAATTACAATTAATAAGGAATAGATAGCAGAGATAGTAAAAAAAAAAAAAAAGGAGTTAAATAAATTGTGACAGACTTTTTGACTGATTTAGCTTTCTAGGTTTTACTCCAGCCTTGTCACTGAAATACTACACGTGAACAATTTCTTAAGAACTTTCTCCTTACTGCCACCTCCTTCAGCAGTGACCATAAAGAACAAAATCTGCATCCCCTCTTTAACTCCATCATCCTGTTTCAAGTACAGTTCCAACATTTGACAAACATACGGACAAAGGCTTTATTGGGAGATCCTGGAGGGAAATTTCATACTCATTAAACAGAAACTCTGACAACCCCTGAGGGAGTAATCTAGGGCAAGGGCACAGCACCATGTCATACTTTGTAGGAGGTCACTGAGCTTTTAGATCCTAAGACTCTACAAGCACACTGCTACCAGAAAACTGAACATCCACCATTCCCCTCCCACCCACCAAAAGGAATGAATATGCTGAGAGGGAGTAAGAGGCCCAAAGTAATCTTCATCATACTAATAACCCACAACTCTGCTGGCTTCTTAGGGGAAGTTTTCCAAAGCACTAAGCCCTCTATAAGACTGGAGAGTTACTAGCATTATACTTTATAAAACTGTATTTTTCATTATTGAAGTTAAATGAAATGGTGAAAACAAGTCAAAATGTTTCAGAGCACATACAGACTGGTTTCTCAGAAGAGACAAAAGATCATCTAGAAGAGCTTCTGCAAAGTCCTATGTTAGCCCTAACATTGCTTACTCAAGACCCTTAAGAATATGGCAAGCAAAGGCTAGCGAGGACAAAAAGATTTAAAGATTTTGTTCCCTGTACAAGAAGACATGGAGGACACTCAGATTTCCCAAAGGCATCTGACAGTGCAACAGGCTGCACTAGAAGCAGGATTTTCCCTTCCATTCATAGCATGAAAGGTCTAACTTTGGACTGTTTTTCTTTTACAGAAGTCTCTAAATGTTCCTATTTATTAGGGAGCAAATTACTTAGCTTTCCACAAGTTTCCTTCCAGAATGTGAATGCTGACACCCAAACTACCACCTCTTTGGTGACAGTCTATGACATCTCTCCACAAAACTCTCTCTACCCACACTGTAATACGTTACTGAGCCCCATGACAGACTCTTGGTAAATTCAAACCCTGCCCTGCACCTGACACACAACCACACCCAGCCAGGTGTTTGCAGCAGGTCCACTTAGACAGCTTCTGCCTGTGGGCAACACTTCAGAGGTACACGATGGATGTCCAGCTACAAAGAAGTTCTCCTGATTCTTTAAGGTAGCTGGAATCCTACATGGCCATCCAGAGGCACACATTTTTCTTTAGCTGAGCTAAGCCTGACACATTTTAGGCCAGCGCTTCTATCTTTATCCTAAGGGACTGGCTTTTACCATTCAAAGTCTAAGATACTCAAAGGTAGAGAAAACTCCTGGGCACTCGTCCAGTACAGACTTCTCCCACCAAACCGGTATTTGAATCACAAGAATAAACCTATTCTTGCACATTCTGACAGATTTACAAAGCTGAAAGTCTTTCAGAAGATTGGAACGTTTAGGCAAAACTCAAAATTGGCAGAATTGCTCCAAGGAGTTTGCATACAATTACTTAGTTTAACATCACAATTATTTCCTGACAGTCATAAATATTATATGTGTAATCTTTTAAATTCAAATTAAGAATTTAAATAAATGATAATTTCTAATAAGTTCAATGCCTATCAGAACTGCTGAACTAAAATCTCCTAAGTGTATTACTACAGGATTAGTAACATTTTTGTTCTGTTTTTGGACTGAAGCAACTTACCACGAGTTCTAATGTTAAACTATGCAAGATATCCACCTCAGGACAATTTTATGTTCTGTAATATTGTATGGTCAGCAGAAAGAAAAGCACAACTCTGGTATAATTAAAAACCTGAAAAAAGGTTTCTGAAAGGAAGTTATTCTGGCAAATATCCCTCCCCCATTTTTTTCTCTGCATTAATTCATTCATCATTTAATTAGAATGTTCTGTGATCTTTGCATCAACACAAAAAAAGGGGAAAGATTTTTAAAGAAAAAGTTAAAAATACAGAAGTATTTCCCGGATACCTCTCTCGCCATTAAGTGTATTAGAGCTGAAACCCTCCACCCCCGAGAGCCCTTAATGAACATTCACAATGCTGCAAACCCTCAGTCATGACTAACCCGACAGAGCAGACCGTTGTAAAATGTTAACTATAAGTGGATGGAGAATTTATAGCTTCATTATGTCATTGCTTACAGATGCACTTGTTATTTTTAAGAAACTTGAATGAAAGCCTCTCAACGGAAAGGAACATGAAAGAAAATGAAGACGATGATTCTCCCCTTCCCTTTCTCCTCCCAAATAAAGCGGCAAACACAGCAAACGAGCACGGAGTGGCACAGGCGGGCCCGCGGGCGGCTGCCCGGGCGCCGACGGGACTTACCCCGGCAGCCGCGGTGGACGCCGACGGGATGGGCGGCAATTTCTCTCCCTCCTTTTCCTTTTCTTTTTCCTTTTCCTTCTCCCCTTCTCCCTCTTCTTCCTCCTCCTCGCCACCCTCCTCGGCTGACGGGGCCGCGGCGCTGCCCTGGCTCAGCTCCGCTCCCGGCGGATGCCCCTCGCCGGGGCCGGGGGGCAGCTCGGCGGCAGCCGGCGGGCTCTGCAGCGACATGGTCCCGCTCCGGGAAGCCTCCCAGCGCCGTCGGCACCCGCGACCCCGCGCCCTCCTCTTCTCCTCTCTCCGAGGAGCGCCCGCGGGCACCCTCAGCTCCGCCGCTCCGCTCGGCCGCCGCGGCACTGCAGCAGCCGCGCTGCTCCCGGGCGCCCAGACACCCCCGCGCGCCCTCGGCCGCCGCGCCACCTACAGACCGCGGGCGGCAGGAGGGGCCGCCGCCGCCGCCATGCTGCTCATGGGCGGCTGGTGGAAACGCGCCTGGCGGCCGGGGCGCGGCGCGGGGGAGCGGAGGACACGGCGGCGGAAACTCCGCGGCGCAGGAACCGGCGCGGGGCTGCGGCTGGCCCCGGCGCAGCCGCCCTGGCAAGGGGTGCCTGGCCGGGTGTGGGGCACTGATGGGACCCGGGAGTGCCGACCAGGAAACAGACGAGTAATAAGCAAATATAAACATAAATATATAAAATAGATATACATATACAGCTGGGTGAAGGGCCCTCGGGGCGGATACCGGTAGGCGCGGCCGCGCCTCCATCACGCCGGGTGCTGCTCTGCCGGCACAGGCCGTGCTGGCAGTGGCCCCTCTCACACCATCCTGAGGCCTGCCGGCAGTGGCACCTCTCACACCATCCTGGGGCCGTGCCGGCAGTGGCACCTCTCACACCATCCTGAGGCAGTGCCGGCAGTGGCACCTCTCACACCATCCTGAGGCCGTGCCGGCAGTGGCACCTCTCACACCATCCTGGGGCAGTGCCAGCAGTGGCACCTCTCACACCATCCTGAGGCCGTGCCGGCAGTGGCCCCTCTCACACCATCCTGGGGCAGTGCCGGCAGTGGCACCTCTCACACCATCCTGGGGCAGTGCCAGCAGTGGCACCTCTCACACCGCGCTGAGGCCGTGCCGGCAGTGGCACCTCTCACGCCATCCCGAGGCCGTGCTGGCAGTGGCACCTCTCACGCCATCCCGAGGCCGTGCCGGCAGTGGCACCTCTTACATGGCTCTATCGCCCCACGGCCACACATTCCTGCCGCTCGGTTCACGCTCCAACGAGAAAATACAGAAATTGTCTAATCACTAAAGTTGAAAAAGCCCTTCGAGATGATCAGGTCCAACCTTCGACTAAATAACACCATGCCCACTATACCATATGCTGGAGTGGAAGCCTTATTGCGAAGGACTGCACCACACCATGAGGAATGAATGTGTAGGCAATGTGTGGTCCTGTCTCTGACGGCAAAGCCAGAGCGGTGCCAGGGCTGTGCAGTGCTGGGTCCCAGCCCTCTGTTGGGGCAGGTCTCGGGCAGCCAGAGGTGGTACCGCTGTCAGAGCCTCAGGGCAGCTCCCTGGCTGTAATGGAGCATTGCTGTGAGTGTGTGAAGAAATACCATCTTCAGAAGAGGTGCTATGTTGCAAGACAACATCTAGACCAGATGTCACACATACTGGCATGGCACTGACCTGCCACTTGGCTTGGTATGTGAAGCTGCAGGAGCCCTGCTGTGTGAGAGGGGGACAATGTTGTACTCCAACCTACATCCAATTTAAGCTCCTCAAACCACTAGCTGCCAGACGAAACAAGTTTCCTTCAGACTGCTCTAATTTTGTGTCTGAAGAAGAGTTTTTCTCCCAGCTTCAGGAACAAAGTGTGAATAGCATTACAGACCACGTGAAACAAATCTTCAAGATTGTTTTTCAGGTGGAGGAAAACCACGTGATGGTTTTCCTGAGCATTGGCACTACACAAATAGCTCCTGCAGGAGCTGTGGGAAATATTTCTGTAAGAGTCATAAAAGCAATGGCACAATAGGTACTGCAGTGTTAATCTAATACATTGCAAAAGGCTTTTCCTTTCTGAAGGAACTGGCAGACCTGGAGGTTTTTTAGGTTTCATTAAGAAATGGCTTTTTCTCCTTACCAAGTTAAATATGAGATCTGGTTTTCCAAGAATTTCACTCTCCTTGCTGTGTTTACTTCACAGTGGCTTTCAGTAGTTTGCATGAATAAGCGGCCTGTTGCACTTAGAACAAAGCCCCCCAAACACTCACTCATCTTTTTCCTTTCCATGCCAAGAAACAACATAATGATAGTAATTTCAACAGCTTCAGTACAAGCAGCTTTACACCCAGTGGCAGTCCCCAGCTAGAAATAATTGGCACAACTGTTTTGTGGAGCTGTGCCAGCTTAAAACATGGAAGGATTTGCTCCACTGAGCCCACAAAGAGAGACGAAATAAAGAAAAAATATATGTAGAAAGGCAAGTGTAGAAACAAATTCATAATTTTTTCACTTCCATTGAGCTATAAAGGCCTGATTTTTGGCAGTGTCAAAAACACTGAAATACTTTTCTACCAAGATTATCTCACCAAAAAGCTAATGCAACACCAAAGACATCAACTTCTATTGTCCATGCTCTCCTGTGCTATTTGAAGCTGAAGTGCTCTGTTGAAGTAAAGTAATTCAGGTGAATATTTTGACTCATGACAATTATGAAAATAGGCACAAAAATTTCTTCCTATTTTTGTAAGAGAGCAAAATGACCATATACTGAACTAGCAAACACATTTTCTTACTTGTAACTAATGTAGCATACATCTAGTGCCCAGGGTTTGAAGCTAAAAGTATTTCAATATCATTCACAGATCCACAAGGGAGTCAAAGATATAACCACAGCTGGGAAAGACATATTTAAATAGGCTTTCAGTTTTCTAGCATGGATGGATGCTAGCTGGGAGCAGCAGTGTTTCATGTAATGAGGTGATGCATGTAGACCCTGCAGTAATTTGTTGGCAAAGTGATGAACTGGGGCAGTGGGCAATGAAACAGTAAGAAAACAGGATAAAGACATTCTAGCAGTAAGATTTGTGGGATATACCACATACACAATTTTCAAAACTAAACAGAAGTATGCAACTGCCATTCTACAGACTTCATGAATTTGTTGGCCAGATGGCCTGGGAGCCTTGACAAAGGGCCAAACACACTCAATGCCTGCATTTCAAAGGACACTTCCCTTGATTTTTTACATCTCTTGTAAGCTGCTTAAAAATTTTAAATCACATGGTGCCAGCTACTTCGCTGAATTTTTTGGTGAAAGGGGCCAAGGTAAAGTTCAGCTGAAAACTGTTGCTCATGCCCAAGTACACGCTGGCTGTGTCTACAGTTCTTTCTGTTCCTGGAGGAGTTTGCAGTCTCGCTCGACCCCATGCTGGCACACCCTGCTGCTGGCTCAGATAAACATATGCACACTGCAGTATCACCCCTGAATAACTGTGGGGGGACACAGGCAGCATGTGACCCTGAACAGATTTTCTTGTGCTTATGGAAGAACAGTCCTGCCTTAGCAGGATGTTGACCTTTTAAACTGGAATAAGACCTTCTTGACACCTTATTTTAAAATACTTCACAAATATATCTCTTCTATCCAATGAGTTTGTGTTGTCAGGAAGGGGGAAAAGTCACTGGTACATCTCTGTGCAATGACGTGGCCAGGCACAGACTGCCACTAGGAATGACAGATGGAACCAGACCAAATGCTAACATTTGTTCACAAATGATTACTAAATGCTTACAAGTAATAGATACACTCACAGAGACTGGCATTTGGGAATGAGACACAAATATAAAAAATAAAAAGGGCTAAATTCCCTAAATTGCCTAGTATCGTCATGACAAATACTGATTGGATCTCACTTTTTTCTCTGTAGTCAGAAGTCAAATTCAGCTATAGCCAAAATCACCCCTGGTTTAATTCAGGAACATCAGGGTTTAGGTTTGGGCTGTTACGAGATTTTCCTTAATCCTCAAATGGCTTACTAGTGTTTGCCATCAAATGGTGTCAGACATCTCTGTGCAAACTGGTATTTCAGGAATCGAAATGACACGTGTCCTTCAGAAAAGGTAGGCTGAATCTTCCCATTCGGTTGCTGATATATTCCCATCACATACCTGTACTGTGTCTCTCTTCTGGAGTAGTACTGCTTCCTTCTCTTTGCACCCTTTAAAGTTCCCATACACTTCCCAGTACAAAATATTTGGGCTATTTAAAAGATGTGTCCTTTATGAGATGGACCCTGAGTGGGCAGAAGGGGAAGCACGGGATGGCTGAAACATCAAAAGAGGAAGCAAAGGCTGGAGACAGCCCATTTCCTCTCTATGGGAGTAGGAGAGAAAGAAATGTCTGGGAGTTTTCCAACACAACAGGTTTTCAGCAAAACATTCTGTTTCAACAGAAAGATCTGATTCATTGAAATGGAAATGTTTTACAAAGAAGCATCTTTCTCAGTGACCCATTAGCAGAACTCAGGCACGATGCCACTGAAATCCACCTGTTACTCTGCCGACTACAGTTAGAGAGCTCACCACACTTGCCATGTGAATCACAAAAATTAGAGACACTGTAGCTTCTGGACCCCCTGGCCTCCTAACTCCCAAGCTGTGGTACCTTCCTGTGCCACCTGCCCACATCATCCTTTAGGGGAGCTGGAAGTGCACGTCTGCTCACAAGTCATAACTGTTCTGAGACTGCACAACCTCAGAGCTTAAGGGATGACCCCAGTCTTGTCCAGCCTCCCCTTTTTGCGGCCACCAATTTCTCTTGAAGTTGGACTAAGGCATAAACTTGAAGAATTTTGCCCAAAAGAGTCCAAATGATTTTGAATACATTTGCCATTGCTAAAAGCTAGTCCATTTATATTTGTTATTCTTGCTGCAAATTTGAAAATATGTCAGCCTTGAGCTTGGCTTACTGTTATAGTCCCTGTATCACATGCCTTCATTTGCAAGAGAGAAAAGCTCCTTTTATTCCAGAAGCACATAAGCAAGGTGCACTCAAACCCTCCTAAGCAAAGTCCATGTTATTTCCCTTATGACTAACATTAGATGAAGAATCTATTGCTCTCACTTACCCTTTGGTTATCCTCTAGTACTTAAAAAGTCTCATTTAAAAAATAAAATTATAAACATTTATTAAAAAATGGTGCAAAGAACTTGGATAATCATCTGAAGCACTTACATGCAAGTTGGGTTGTCTTGGCAGACAATTATATCTCTTTGGCAAATGGTAAACGAGTGACTGAAGGTACATAACCAGCTGGGATGCATCCAGCTTGGGCATTCCTAGTACAGAGAAGGAAGAGGTAATCAGAAGTTCTGTCTTACTGGCATCGTTACATTTTCACTTTGAGTTCCTTGTCATCACTGACTGGTGAAGTATAACAGCTGTTCCAGCCAAATGAAAAAGGCTTATGGACTCTGGTGCCTAAGCTATATATTATCTTCTAGGTAAGTGATTAACTCACTTTTTTCTGCCTGAATAAGGTGAATATTATATTACATCTGCCATGGAACAGGGCCTTTGGGTTGAAAGAAATCATGAGCCTCTCTTTTAGAAATGTAATGGCTTTTTCAGAGGGAGTTTATCTGTGGTAATGCAGTTTAAGCAAACATTGGAAGAAAGATGGCAAGAGAAAAACTCACCAAGTGAAGAGCATTCACTTAGTGACCTCTCAGTTTTACTAAGGTGTTCATTTATTCTCTCCAGAAAGCTGGTGTTGGTTATTCAATCTGAATTTCAGTTAATTTCACTTGTACAGAATGTGGCAGTAGCATGGTCTTCCCCAAGGTACAGCAAGGGACAGCTGTTAAGGCTGTTAAGGCTGGGAGATAGCCTACTACTTTTGTCATGTCAGATCTGGAATTTATTTTAAAATGAGATAGAGGCAGATGCTAGGCACAAAATTTTATCCAATTTCTATTCAAACTGGAAATAAGAAACCAATATGCCATGCTAAAGAAGGTTCAAATGAGGTGGCAGTAATAATGCTTAATTATTAAAGCTTCTGTACTTTTGTCATGTGACCTCTAAATTGTAAACTGTTAGAATTAACATTTGTTTAGCACTGCTTTGTAAATCTCCTCTTACTTCGTGGTTAACAAACGAATTTGATTTCCTTAAAAAGACAGCGTTCTTGAACTGACGTGACAGCGAGAGGTATGATTTCAATATGCTGATCCTCTTCGCCTGGGAGGAGCTGGGGGAGCGGAGGGTGCCGGCAGAGGCGGCGGTAGCCGGGGCTGCAGCTCCCTCCAGCGCCGGCTCGCCGGCTTTTCCAGGGGAGAGAGCATCGCACTCGCGGCTCCTGGCGTTTGGAAATTACCTATTAGCTCGCAGACATGTCTGACAGGAGGGAAGTACCTACATTTCGAGCTTTAAAGGTAATAAATATGGTATAAGATTATGTATACAGTGATTTGCCTAAGTATCCTTGAAATTGTTAGGGCAAATGGCAGAGACAGTATTAAGCCCATTTGTTGGTTTGGGCAGGATTGAGAGCTGCATGCTTGCAGACTGTCAAGACTTTCACATTTTTAATGCAACCTGTGGTGTTTCCTTTGTAATGTCTAAATGGGATGGGTACAGTGCCTGCTTCTTCCAATATCTTGGTTAGCTAACTCTAATTGCCTTTCCTATTAATGGCTAAGTTCTACAAATAGGAGGGATGTCTGAATTTGTGGAGGTCTCGAGTCTCCCAAGGAAGAAAGGCCTCTGGCACATATACAATAATGGTAGCTAGAATCAGAGGGCTGGGGAAGATGCTGCCCTACCACTGAATGGAGCAGTCCTTGCTGATAATCTGCAATCTTCCTGCCACACTTCTCAGGCTGGTCTGTAAAATAAATCACCTCTGCTTTTCATCTGTGGCTACAACCCTAGGGGAATCCAAAGCAGAGGCTGAGCCTCTGCAAGTGTTAGTGGTGCTGTTCCTGCAGCACAGCAAGCCCTGAGGACAGCTGTACCCAAATCTGGCTCCTCATCTGCAGCAGGAGTCTGGTTTGGATCCAGCTGCAGAATTGTAGCACAGGCACTGATGTGCCCCAGCTCAGGACCAGGCCAAGCAGAGCCTGTTGGGTGCTGTGCCAGCCTGGCTTTCCTAGGCTCAGCCTTCCCTCTTCCAGGGCTCCTTCACTTTCCCATCTTCTCTGTTCAGGGCAAGTTGCTTGAGAAAGCCAGGTTTTTTTCTAAAAGTGTAAGAGGGCTCTCTCCCCTGTCTCCTGTAAACACCATCAGTTTCAAACCCAACTCTTTCACCTTCCCAAGACTTTCTTAACTTTCCCCCACTGCTATTAGTTGCAAATATCCTTTTAGGCACTGCTATAGACCCAGTGGCTGTTTTCCAGCAATTTGCCTGAAGCAGAGAGTAGACAAGGAACACCCTGCAGTGCTATGCCACAGCCACAGACCAAAATCACAGAAGGCAGAGAAAAATTCCCAACAAGATCCTTCACTGTGCTGTAGTGTCACTACAGGCCCATCACACACACAGTCTGAAATGTTCATACCTCTGACGAGCACACCTGAGGTTTCATAGCAGGTTTGGGGAGAAGCAGCAGCTTTAGGACATTTCTTCAGGCAGTGTGGACTCAGACACCAGAAGCTCCCTGTGTGCCCGCAAGAGGCAGCAAGTGACACAACTCATGATTTTCCAGAAGCACCAGAAGTGCTTACGGGTGGGTGCCAAGGGCATCCCTGTGCTGTGCAATGTGGATGCCACTCAAACACGCTGCACCACTGGCACATGGCTACAGGCAGCACTCAGTGCAGTGTATTCACCAAGGGCCTTTAAAAAACCCCCCCACAAATGTAAGTAAATAAGATCAAGATGTGTTTTATGGATACTGTCTAGCTTATTTTACATAAATACTTGTACTCACTCAAACCTGGTTCCTTCTTAAACAGCATCTATTCTAGTAAAACCTCCTTGTCTGCCAAAAAGCACAAAAAACTGTCCACGGTTTGTGTGGGATAAAAGGAATGATGCAAACACAACTAATGTAATGGTGACTAGACTTACCTAATGAACAAATAATGCTGTTTTTCTTCTCTCACCTTCAGGGGAAATGTGCACCAAGTGGTTCATAATCCATCCTCTGTCCTTGCCCCACACCATATTCCTGTATTAAGAAAACTCAACCACAGTGCTTGACTGTAGGGGCAGAAACATAAAAGCAAAGAATTGGTCTAGATAATGGCATTCATATATTTGGCTCTCTCCTGAATTATTTTTCAAGAAGTGTTTTCCCTTTAAAATTTTCCTGCACTTATTCTCCTTAAAACATATATATTTTGATATTTCTTGCAAAAGCCTTCACCTTCAGTGGAGTTCCTGAGCACACACAGTAAGGCAGTAGAGAAATCCTGGAGTTACAAAACACTATTAGAATATAAGTAAAAGGTAATAAACAGCTGAACCAGTTCTCTGTATAAATTATAATACTTATTGAAAATATACTGGAGCAGGAGAAGGACTCCTCTCTCTGAGAAGCAGCAGAAACCATGTCTGATGAACTGACCATAACTCCCTGACTCTCCTGCTTCACTGCTGGGAAGGAAGGAGGGGTGGGGGAGGGTGTTTTGAAGGTCTTATTTTATTTCTCATTATCCTGCTGTGATTCTGTTAGTAATAAATTCAATTAATATCTCTAATTTGCATCTGTTTTGCCCATGACGGCATTTGATGAGTGATTCTGTCCTTATCCTCAACCCATGAACTTTTTCTTATATTTTCTCTCCCCTGTCCAGCTGTGGAGAGGAGTGATAGAGGCTTTGGTGGGTGTCTGGCATTCAGCCAGGTTCAACCCAATTCACAGTTTCCCACATTTTCAGCTGATATTGCAGAATTAACTGTTATTGAGTATAAAGGTGCCTGATTTGCTGGAGAGCATTGCAGGAGTACAGGCTCCTTCCCAAGACAGAGATACCAAATTATAATGTCATTTGTATTTATCCAAGTAGTTCTATTTATAATAACCTTTCAGGTGACCTAGTTGTACACTAAAGCATGTCTAAAGAAGATTAGTTTCTATCTTTCAGAGTATGAAGTAGTGTACTATATAAATACTGCAGCTTAGCTACTGTCTGTTTTGAATGTCAGTTAGGATCAGGTAGTGTTTATGTGCTCTCGAGATTTAGCAGTTTTTATTCAGGATTTCTCAAATTTGCATCAAGCTGAAACTTGGCATGTAAGCTGTCAGCACAGATGCTAGTTTTATTCCAAAAATAGGGTAAGTTGAAGCTTTTAAAGGTGTCAAGTGGCTTATTTATGCAGTGGTTGCAGATCCTTTAGTTTTCTGTCTCTTTCAACTATACAGAAGCTTACTCTGTAACCTTCCTCCATCATTACTGCATTCTCTCTGTAATTCTCTAGCATTACAGTCCTGAGCAGTGAGGAATAAGAAAGTAAATGATCACACTAGAGTGATAATCCAAGGATGGTGTGCCCTGGAAGCAGGTGTAAATAATGGTAATTTTTGGTGAAACAGAGCTACCTTCACGAAGTCACCATAAACAAAAGTAACTGAGAAAACATCTGGAATGCTCCCAAAATGCTGACATACTGCTTGATAGCACACTGAAAGGACAGGAAAAATCCCCAGCACTGTGAAGGCTTCCTAACACTTCTCTTTAGACAAGGAAGGACCTTCTTTCAGGGATCACTGAAACCTCCTCCTCCAGGAATCATTGCAGGGTACAGCTCTATCTCCACCATGGTATTTATTGCATATGTGTATAAAGTCTAAGGCACAATGACTCAGAAAACTTGTAGTAGTATGGATCACTTATGTTCAGTGATCTACAGCACAGTTTGAGCGTAACAAACTGCCCCTCATAGAATAAATCAACCCAAATATAAATAACCACAAGTGGACCCCTTTGCTCATTTTGTGCAGCCAAAGAAATGCTCTCTGCCATAACCTAGCTCTGGTAGATTAGCAAACAAAACTAGGAGATGGTAAAAGACACGAGCTTCCTTGCAGAGTGTCCTGCCAATAGCTGCAGGAGAGGGCAGGTCAATGTAAACATGACATACACCCTGTCCTCTTTCCTTTCTAAGGACCCTGAAAGACAGGAGGGGGAAGGTAAAGCCAGGGAGGGGCTGCCTACTTAGAGATCTGTCTTCAGCTCAAATTTCCATCTGTAACAAGTGGAGGCAATATCCAATTATTTGCAATAATGTTGATATGTAAATAAGTGATATGTGGTTTTTGTTAATTTTGTCAGTTTTAAGAATACTTACAGTTTGCAAGGACTGTGGTCAGGTTTCAACTGAACTTAGTCATTTAACACAACCTTCAAATTCATAGCTGTAATTTTTTTTCCAATGAGAAATTACTTTGTAAAAGCACTTGTGCCAGTACAAGTCAGTGTGCATGACTTCTTTATTCTACTTTTCTTGGGGAGGCATCCCCCATCTGTTTAAGAAACAAAGAGAAGTTGTCACAATGGTAGCAGAAAAATAGTTTTAAGTTAAGACCCTTTCTTTCTACTGAACCAAACTAGATCCAAATACGAATAAAGACCAGGAACAAGAGTATAAGCTTGAAGTATTTGCTCATGCTTAATAGATATTCAATACTCAATAATTTTATATTCTCTGAAGAATGCTAGAATTTCAACAATCACTGGCTATACCTCTTTTTGGAGGTCTTCAGCAGTAATTCCTCTTCTAAAATCTACTTCATAAAATATTCAGCTGTATCAAAATAGTAGACAAGACCATATCAAGCTCTATTTAGTGGCCAAGATTTGCACACCTACAATACTCATGACATGCAAACATTTTAGTATTTCCTGCCACAATGAAGCAATGTGAAAAACCTGAGGTAATTTATTTGGGCTTTAGACCGCTGTGGATACGAACTAATTTCTGGTCAGGATTTGAAATCATACCTGCAGGAACTTACTCTTAAACAGATGCTCCAGAACTCTATAAGGAGGGTCACATATCTCATGTCATCGTTTGATGGGTGTCTGGTCAGAAGTCTCTTCCCTTCCTGCTACAGCTGTCCCTGTGAAATAGCAAACATGTTTTCTGGTCATAGTGTGCTCTGTGAATAATTTCTCTAAAAGGTTATTTACAGAAAAGTCAGAGTCCATTTTCTTAACTCTAAAAACATGGAGGTTGAACCAAATCTTGTTTGTTTAAAATCCTGTAACTCTCAGTGTGGTACAATTCTGAATTTGTAAAATAATTTCAAGATGTTAAAATAATTTTGCAGATAAATAAAAATCCCCAAACCTACAAGGGATTTTTCTTTATCAATCCTTTGGTTTTGAAAAAATATATATAAAAATTTAGATATTGTATTTTTCCCTAATGAGAGAGCCCAGAAATATACAGGCAGAAGAATGCATGGAACACACCTTGTCTAGATGCTTTTTGTGTCTCTTAAGCCTCCATGAACATCAGGTCTCATTGCAACGTTTCCCCTCAGGAAATATCATGGTTTATTCCAGAGATTTTTTTCCCCAAGAGTTTCATCTGTACCTGTCTTCAAGCAAGACAGGTACAAGGTGGGTATTTTTGGTAGGTTGCTCATGCTGTTGATAGTCAGAAGTGTCTGTAGTTTTATGAATGTTTTCAGTTCTGGTGTGTTCAGTTCTGTTTTTGTAAGAAAGAATCCTCTTCCCTCTCCCACCCTACAGCTACATGCTGTCATCCTCCCTTCCACTGTGCTGGAACATTTTGTGTGGTCATGTGGAGCTCTGGTTGTGCTTAAGCCAGGGAAAAAACTCAGAAATGTTGGTGCATCCTCCTTGAAAAGATGGTGAGGGCCAGGAGCAGGGGCTGGGCTCAGCAGTGACTCAGTGCAGCACCTGAAGGCCAGGCACCAGCTCCAAGGCTGGAACTCACCACACTGATGTAGGTGCAGGAAAGGGTGACTAAATCAACCCCTGGGAGAGACTCAAACAGAGCACCTCTGGATTCAGAGCCCAAGTTCACTTCTGGTGCTTGTCTGCCTACACATACACAGAAGGGGAATGTGAACAAAGGTTATATTTTACAAGAACCGCCCAAAAAATATTTTTTGCTTGTGGTGTGATTTGACACATGACATGCCACAGCAACCTTCCAGGGCACAGAATGTGATCCCACTATGTATCTGATATAATTAAGGATGTATGACTTAAGTACCAGCTGTAGCCTGAAGTGATACCATTGGACTGAGATACAACATTGTGGTTTTGCTTTCCATCTAGGGAATTGCAATATGTGCTAAAAATACTGTTTGGCACATGGAAATGCAGACTGTTATCTCGTGCAGAGTGGGACATGGAATGTCTATCCCCATAGAAGTCACCACAGAAGAGGGAAAACGGACATTTTAAGGAAGCCTTCTTGTGTTGCCAGCAAGATAAGCTGAGGCTGGATTGGTATTCTTTATCCCTCTCTCCACTCTGTCCCTTGCAGAATGAGGAATGATCTGTTTAGAAGTGAGTCATAGCTAAATAAAACCAGCATAGGTAATCATTTGCACCATATTAGGCATCAATTTTCCATCACACATTGTATCTATGTAGCTACTGAAGACGTTGTTTTCTTCCCTGTGTTTTTTCATGGGAAGATGCATTTATTTTTAAGCTGTATTTAAAGTCACTCATCTCTAGGGAAACATGGAGGGGATACTTGACAGGATAGGACCTCATCCTCTCTCCAAAGCCACTTTGTGCCCAGGCTCTACTATCCCAACTCTGGGTGGCACACCATGACTGTGGTTTAAGAGAGCATCCAGGAAAGAAGGCTTGTTCTGACAATCTTTTTAGAAAAAGTATCCAAAATCCTGTCTGAAGTTATGGTTACAGACAGCAGCATCTGCTGAATTATTTAAATTGATACCTTCAGGTTCTATAGAATCAGAAACGTGGGGAGCAGATAAATTTATTTATCTATTTACTTGTGAAGGACAATAAGATAATAAACAAAACATTCTAGATAAATAACAAATTAACAAAAGTGATTGAATTTCAGCCTTAGAGAGCTGTAGAGATAAGTCCTGCCCATTTTACCCGTATGAGTAGTTTCATTAACAACAATCTGCTTCTTAGTAAATTGCCAGTAATAATAAAAACAAATAACTTGTTCTTTTGTTTCTCTGCTGCTAGGCATTTTAATAATTCCAGATGTACTCATTAAAACTGGTGCTTTTATACTCAAATGTTGTAAAACACTCTTGCATTACTGTTAAACCACTCCATCTCCCTTTTCTGTCTGAGCTTCCATATAGCCACAGAAGAGGCAAAGGAAAATAAAAACCTCCAGAACAGGTGCAAGAGCAGGATGATGCAACTGTCTGCTCACTCTGCCCACAGGAGCAATGTGGCACCTCAGGGCTGTGAGCATGGATCCAGAAAGTGGCACTGAGTGAATTCCAAAATGTTGACAACATCTGATATGTGCAAGAGGGCCACTGAGTGCACAGAACTGCGTGTCCAGCGGAACATAACACCATGCAAACACCACTGGGGTTAGATTTGCACACAGCAATCATTTATTCGCTATAAAAACAGATGTGCTCTATAATTGCATCTAAAAGGTGCACTACCAACATTAACTATCCAAAACCTGTATGAAGAGAAAGGTTTCATCACCTTTATAATTTATTTGAAAAAGTTGTTCTCCATTTTCTTATGCTATAAGTACCAATTTTAATAAAGTACTGAGTGACATCTATGTTACAGGTTTTAAAATATTTTTTACTTTGTCACCTTTTAATCTTTATAATGACTGTATACTATGAGGAAAAAGGGGTGACACAGCACTAAGACTGTTTTAAAAGCATTGTTTGTTCTTTTATATTATTCAGGAAGTACTTAAGGCTGTTCAGGAGAATCATGATATTTAACATGCACATGTACAATACGTAGTCTGCAAAAATAAGTTGGCAGACTTTTGCATGGAGCTGTTTCTTACATCTCTTTCCTAAGCAATTGCACATTTAGGAATCTGTTGGCAGTTTTTTATTCTGCCCATGAGAAGTGACACTGCAAGAGGCTCACTTTGTGTCCATTTTTTTCAGGAGCATTACTGAGAGGACAACTGGCTCAGTACTGCCACAACTTTGGAGGGAGAGATCTCACTCAACTGCCCCTGTGAATGAGGAAAACAGAGGTAAAACAATACGAATTTGGATTTTTGGCCACACTTCCAGGAGCTACACTTCAGAAGCTAGTGGAGTTCTGTACAGGCATTATTCATCCTTGTTTCTGAAGCCCCTGAATCTGTCATGCTCAGTGTTGTTCAGAACTGGAATAGCAAGACAGGCCCAAAGACAGCTGGCAATCTGTGTGTGATACAGCTGATCAATGAGTGCTAATAGATGGAAATAAGGAAATAACTCTGTTATGGCTGCTCAGCCTTTTGAAGAATTGGTATACAGAGGAGGTGAGAGAGGGTAAAAACTCACTGTTTTCTAGGGAAAAAAATTGTTTCCAAATTGAAGGACTGCTCGTTGTCTTTTTCTTGTCTATTTGAAGATTCATCTTAACACTGATGGGTATCTAGTGAGTTTGAAGTATTTCCTCTTAAACTTTTAGTGGTTTTGATGTATGATTGTGGAACCCTGTTGAATGGCTACAAAGTTGTGATCTCTGGGTTAAGGAGGGTTCTCTTAACTTTAGGGATCTGTCCTATGGTCGAAACTGGTCCCACCAGAGTTCAGTATTTCAGTGATGCTCTGCAGACAGAAATCCAGCACCTCTGGCTCTTGTGTAGATTTATCAAGAAAATAAAACTGAGACCAGGATGCTGTCAGTGTCCACAGGTCATGGCAAACACATTTCAAGTGGAAAAAAAATCACTTGACTCTTTGTACTGCACCAAGGATAACACAGTCCCAACCCAAACAAGTAAGGATTATTAATGGTAACAGACAGCTGGAAACACAGGTCAAGGACAGAAGATGTCCCTGCCTCAGTAGTTTTCCATTTGCTCATGATGCAAAGTGACCACCTGACAGCTCTCCTGGCTAGTTGTAGTCTCATGGGCAAAGCACTAACTGCGATGTGCTCGGGGTTCATGTGAGCTCAGCTCACGTGGTAAGTCAGACTCCAGACTCCCAGTCTGTGGGTGGAACTCCTCTGATGGCATTTCCTTTAAAGCTGTAGCACTATGCCCTTTATTCTCTGCTGCATAAGCTTGGGCCCATTTAATCAAAGGTATCATGATTAAAACTGGTTGGCAGAGGAGTGTCTGCCTAAAGGTGATGGAAAAGAAGAGAGAACTGAGTGATAGCAAGTGAAGCCAAACTATAAGTGGTATGAACCTTGTTTTCCTTTTCAAAGTAGAACTAAATGTATGTGATTTAATTAAAAATGAAAAAAAAATATATAAAATGTTTCATTTTAATAAGAAGAAACACCATTTAATCAAAGGTATCATGATTAAAACTGGTTGGCAGAGGAGTGTCTGCCTAAAGGTGATGGAAAAGAAGAGAGAACTGAGTGATAGCAAGTGAAGCCAAACTATAAGTGGTATGAACCTTGTTTTCCTTTTCAAAGTAGAACTAAATGTATGTGATTTAATTAAAAATGAAAAAAAAAAATATATAAAACGTTTCATTTTAATAAGAAGAAATGCTGAAAATTTTTTTGCTACCAAGGAAATGTGGATGACATTGGCTGGCAACACAGTAGTACAATGGGAATTTTTTCACGTTGCCACAGTATATGTTTTCATTTTTCTATTGAGATCTCACTACTGTAATGCCAGCCAACTGAGAAGAACTTTTCATGTTTTGGATGGTAATAAATCTTCCACAAAGCATTAACCAACACCTTGGGCAGCTTTTCTGGTTGATACTACTCTAGATCCCACATTACAAATTGCTCAAACAGGAGAAAGGCCTTAGGTAGACATTTCAAACATTTCCTTTCTAGTTTTGGTCAGCATCATGTGACTACATGAGTGAAATAGCAAGGCATTCATCAATAATAGTGGCAAACTACAGCTCATGCTTTGAGTTAAAAAAGAAAACAAAAGCAAAACCACTTTTCCTTCCCCACTTCCCCTCCTTATTCCCATCTAACAGTTCAACAGACTTTGTGAAAAGTCTTGGAATGATTTCTCTCTTCAATGCTTCTAATTTAAATGACTTGCTAGAAATGAATATTTAATGACATTACTCTCCAATGTTTCATCTCTTTAGTGCTAATTATTTCAATAGGACATATAGGAAAGGCAAAGGTCACTTTTCTATATTGTCTGCATTAACACTATAAAACTATCTTTGTTTGACAGTTAAAGTTCTCACTTCTGTATTTCCTAATTTTTACTTTTCAGTGTCTCCTAAAGAAAGTGACACCGCTTGAAGTGTCATGGGGTTAACCCTGCAGTCAACCAATTATGTCCTCATTAGCAAAAAAGATGTGTGACTGCTAGCACTTAATCCTTAGTTTTTCTTTCTCTTCAAGCCAAAGCAATCTTCGATTTCCATACTGGAAATTCTCATAGCAGTACCCCTAAACAAAGTATTGTTTAATCCTCCAGGTCAATTTGATATAGTGTCCTTTGCCTGAGCAAGGAAGCAAGGTCTACTTAGGCACCTACATGCTTGGAGCTAAGGAAGTTTCCACTTTGGAGTAAATAGTTTCCACTAGACCTCACTCTTCTTGTAGTAAAAAAAAAACCCAAACCAAAACCCAAAATAAATCAACCTTCCATCTGCATTCCTTTTGCATTTTGATGGGCACAAATGAAACAAAATAACCTCCAAAACCACAAACTTATGTCATTTGATCAAATGGAAGGACATACAGTACAAAGCTGGAAATCTTTTCCATATACCTTAGCCAAGGTCAGGACAACTCTATGTACAACCTGTTGCCTGGGGTGTCAGAATTTCAGATGTACTTTCAGAGGCTCTTACCAGTTCTTTCATGCAACATCCTCACTGAGGAAAACAACTTGCAAGTCCAGGCTCTTCACCCTTTGAAGTTCCCTCCTGTTCCTTAACTCATACTCGACCTTCAGCAGCCCATCTTTCATAAGGTGCAATTTGCAGTGATAGTCTTCCTCTGTTCTGGTTTCTGCCTGACTCGAAGTCTGGCTGAGCATCCAGGTGGACCTTCACACTGGAGGTCAAATAACAAAAGCCATTGGGAATGGACTACACAGATCAGCACGGGGGCTCACGGTGGCTTCTGCCTGCCCCTTGCTGGGGACATCTCCCAGGTGAGGGCACTGAGAGCTGCTCTGTGATGCCAGAGCAGCATAAAGCAAGACCAGTGCAGCCAAACAGCATGAATGCTTTTGGGCATGTGGCAATAATTTCTCCAGCCTACTCTGTGTCACTGAGCAGCCCAAAGGTGGGGAAACACCTAAAAGGAGGAAAGAACCACAGTCTCAGACTTCTACTTCTCATCCTCCAACTTCTGAACTACATGAAAATCAGAAAATCTAACTTTCTAAAATTTTATTCACAAGTGTGGCACTTCACTGCTCTAATACTTTGGACAGCTTTTCCCTCAATACCTTCATATGGCCTTTTGTCACCCACACTAAGTTTTCTGATGGAGGGTGTGGTGGCTTTGCATGCCCTTACCCATTCCCACTGCCAGTCCCACCCAGCATCCTCGTTCACAGTAATCACATGCATGAATCTAACAAAGCAATTCCAGTTTTGTGAAGTGCAGATTTCTGTAAAGGAGTTATTAGCATAAAATAACCTGATGTTTATTGTCAGACCCTATAGGTTTTGACAAGTTCATTAGTTTTAGATGTGGATCTTAACTAACTTCCATTCTTTGGGTATTACAAGACTTTGGCCTCTTAAACATTTAATAAACATCATGAAACAGTAAAGAAGATAAAATTAAATGTTGTGGAATTAGCTCTGCATTTGAATTGCATTTTTATTGTATATTTTAGCAACCAAAAGGATAAGTTTGTAAAATGGTTCTTTCAAAACTGCTAAACAAGTAAGATGATTTGGGGACACATGGTGTAAGTAGGATGAAGTCTTATAAAGAAAAATCCTTCATGACATTGTAGCTGAATTAAGCCAAGGCATAATAATTTCCATTTGTCCAGACAAGCTACTGGCATGATTTCTGCAACAGAGCTGAAATGGTATCTGCAGATGGTGACTGGGGTGCAAAGTTAATGTCTTTATGCATGAAGCATCCTGGCATATGCAGGTGATCTTCAAATGCCAAGGATTTCCTCTCTCTTTTGCATCACAAAACATCTGCAAGAGTCCTACAGCATTCAACAACACTGTTTATGATCAAGAGCCAGATTGTGATATTTGTGTTCACAGCTATTTAGCTTTTACCCTAGATTCCCTTCCCAAATTTTCCTTCATTTTATCCTGCTTCTGTTGGGCTTGTAACCATATAAATTAAGTGAACAATTGTATTTCTGTCAGGCTAGTCGTTGTGTTGGAACTGCCAGAATCTCACTGGGCTGGTAAATCACAGTTTGGTAGCTGCTGCCAGACATAACAAGGACATCCACTGATGTCCAGGAAGCTATTTGGGAGGCAAGACTGCTCAGAGGGAATATGGGTATCTCAAAGTTGATCTGCTTGCTAGGGATATGAAAAGAAGGGGAGTAAAACCAGGCAGAAATATTAAAAAGCCCTTTTGTATGGTTTAATACTTGTTTTGGGATTGCAAAATACAGGAAAATATGGAACACAAATATTTTAATCCAACAAAAACTAGAGCAATGAAAAAGGATCTGTACATAAAAGCTGAAGCACAATGATGAAAAAGTATATATTCCAGCAAAAACTCCATCACTATTTACTTCTCTCTATTAATACAATAATAGCTTAGTCAAAATTTGACCTAAAACTGAACTAGAAATGTGAATCGTCTGTTCTGCAACTGTTAAAAACAATTGAATCGAATGTTAAGTTCACCACAGGTTTTGTCAGCAAGTCCTTGCTGCTTTAAACTCCTATGTACAGGCTTTCTACTCTTTTGGAGTGGGGAATTAAAGAACTCATTAACTTGGCTTAGTTTGCCTGGGAATTATGCAATCTGGGCAATATGGAGAGCAGCATTTGAAAGACATTGTTTGCAAGGTTGTGCTGGGTGACAGCAGCACTTCCATCTGGCAAATGCCTGAAATGTGTGTTCAGTGTGGGAAAGACTGGAACAAAAGAG